AACACAGATGAAGCCGAGCAAGCGGTGCAGACGATGAAGGCGCAACTTGAGAAGTACACAAAGGATTTACCCATAGCGAACACTACCAAGCCTCCGCCATCGGATGATAGCCAGACTGTCATAGTTACGGGTACCACGGGGGCCTTGGGTTCCTACCTTTTGAACTTTTTAATTGCTGACGACAAGGTCAAGAAGGTCATTTGCCTCAACCGTTCCAAGGATGGTTTCTCGAAACAGACAGAAGTCTTCCACAGCCGTGGTCTAAACGTCGACTTCCGCAAGTGCGAGTTCCTCCAGGCTGATCTATCCTACCCCGATTTCGGTGTGGGTAACGAGAAGTACAACGAACTCTTAGGCACTGTCGATCGCATTATTCACAACGCATGGCCCGTCAACTTCAACATTCCCCTCTCGACTTTCGAGCCACACATCCGTGGCGTGCGTCACTTCGTGGACTTCAGCGCCAAAGCTGCCAAGCGCGTTCCCATCATCTTTATTTCCAGCATCGGAACAGTGGAGTTTTGGAAAGGACACGTTCCCGAAGCGCAAATCACTGACTTTAACGTCCCTGGTGGAAATTATGGCCGCTCGAAGATGGTTAGCAGTTTGATCCTGGACGAAGCGGCGAAGGTTTCCGGTGTCCCCACGGCGAGCATCCGCGTCGGGCAGATTGCGGGATCGCGATACGAGAAGGGCCTGTGGAATAAGCAAGAATGGCTACCCTCCATCATCGCATCGTCCGTCTACCTCGGCATGCTTCCCGGTAACATGGGCAGGTTCGATAGGGTCGACTGGATGGCCATCGAGGACGTGGCCAACCTCGTGCTCGATGTAGCGGGCATAAACGAGCCGTTGCCCGTCGACAAAATTTCCGGGTACTTCCACTCCGTCAACCCGAAGACCATCACCTGGCAGGATTTGGCGCCGGTCGTGAAGGACTACTATGGGGATAGGATCAAGAAGATCGTGAACTCAAGCGAGTGGATGGAGGCGCTGAAAGCCAGCCAGGCTACCACGACAGACGTGAATAAGAACCCAGGCATCAAGCTCATCGACTCGTACGAGAGCTTTTTCTTCGCGGACGAGAATACTATCGTGTTCGATATGGAGAGAACGCAGGAGTATAGCAAGACGGCTAAGAACCTTGAGCCTATAACGCCGGAGCTCATGCAGAATTGGTGCAGGCAGTGGAACTTTTAAGACGGCTTGTGTTCATGGTCTCGTATATTGTTCGTATATTGTTGCTGTTTAGGGGGGAATTGCTTGTATCTAGCGCTTAGAATTTGACGTCTTTCATGATAATAGAGGTGTATTTGATTTATTAACTCTAGCATCTATTTTCCTACTATATAAGTTGATTAATGTGTGTTGTAGGGGGGTACGAGTTCCGCATTATAAGAAATTCGGAACTCACCGAATGGGGGTTAGATGCATGTGGTTTAAGAAGGAGGTATGTACACCCTATATACACCCTTTCTTTTAGGACCTAACCTTATAGACCTAAGGTAACTACGACCTCTATATCCCGACTGAAACCCCAAGATTTAGATTTATAATCTTAAGTTATTATGTTAGGTACCTAGTTTTACCATCACCACCATCTTACATCCAACAGACAGCGCCTTTAGGTGGTGTTCTGGGCCCTCTTACTATATTCTACAACAGGGCCCAGAAGAATTGTTATAATATTATCTCTCTTTCAGTACATCGTCTGTCTTACCCTCAGGTTTTATGGTACACGTTACCAATGAATTACCGGCATGACGACGTACGAGTTGCCGGTGGCCGAGAGCCAACCAGCTCTCCTACTGGACGGTGAACTTTCCCCATTGGCTACTCCGTCTTACACTCCTTTATCCATGCCCGAAAGAGGCGAGTCTGCTCGGAAATCTAGACGACGTGGTGGTTCACGGATGCTGTCTGTACTGAGATCATTGACGAATAGCGGTAGGTTGCTTCTCTAATAGAAAACACTCTTTAGGACGACTCTGACATAACCTGTAGCTTCTGGCAACTCCGTCAGGGAACCTGCAACATGGCCGGCACCTTCACCCATCGAGAGATCACCCGGGCCGCGTCGACGCTTTGGGAAGTTATCCATGCCGTTTCTCCGGAGCCCCTTTGGCGCCTCTGTCACTATTATACATCGATTTAGATCTAGATCTAGACATTCTTGCGCGTCCACGGAGAGGGTTGTCAACGAGTCGCTCCCAGTTGTTTCTCCCGAGACCGTCGTTTCCTCTACTTCCAATGGAAATTCGTATAGCAATGGTAATACTACTTCCAGCGGCAAGTCATCCGGCCCGACCAATGGGACCAATGGGACCGGTGGAACTGGTGGAACTGGCGGAACCGGTACCACCGGAAAGACATCTCTTGAATCCAAGGGGGAGTGCAATTTAGGAGAGAAGAAGATTATCAAAGCGACCCGTGAGAGAGAACAGGAGGCCACAGCAACTGCCGAGCCAAACCTTACACCAATTCAGGAGACGGCTCTCGATCTATCTTCACCAACCATTTTAACGGTTGAACGAGCTGCAGCTGCAAAGATATTCCTCGAGACCTACTATAACGAAAAACTCACCAAGCCCAGCCCACGTACTATTCGTCGCCGTTACTTGGAAGGAGAGCTGTACCATAATGCCGGACTCACGGAAGCAGAAAAGAATGCTAGGCGTCGTGCGTTTTGTAAACAAGAGACAGATTATCTTCGGGAAATGCGAGTCTTGAATGCAAAAAGTATCGGGGCGGTGCAGGGAAAACATAACCAACTTGCTGAAAACTATGAAGTGCTCAAGATTCTCGGCAAAGGAAGCTTTGGTGTCGTCAGGCTTGTCCGTGAGAAGACCCGGCTAGGCGATCCCGAGCATAATATGCGGCAGGACAAGCGGGTATACGCCATGAAGGTAATACGCAAGACAGCAATGTTGAGAACGAGCCAAGAGGCTCATTTGCGTGCCGAACGGGATTTCTTAGTTGCTTCTGAAGGCTCCAAGTGGTCAGTTTTTCGGTTTTTACTCTATCAACCTACCGAGTCTTGAAAGCTAATGATTAATACCACGGTAGGATTGTGCCTTTAGTCACTAGCTTTCAAGACGCCGCCAATCTCTATCTGGTCATGGATTATATGCCCGGTGGTGACTTTCTCGGCCTTCTAATCAGAGAGAACGTCCTCACCGAGCCGGTTGCCAAGTTTTACATTGCCGAGATGATCCTATGTATCGAGGAGGCGCACTCATTGCGTTGCATACACCGTGATATCAAACCAGACAACTTTCTCATCTCTGCGTCTAGGCACTTGAAGATATCGGATTTTGGCCTGGCTTTTGATGGTCATTGGTCGCACGACACCAATTATTATCATACGCAGCGATACAGCTTACTCCAAAAGTTCAACATACCGGTAGAAGGAGACGCCATTGACCGTGCCGAAGGCTTACAAGGCTCAGTTAAGTGGGCTCAAAGCGTAGCCCAGGCGATGCAGAAACATGAACGCCATCAAGCATACCCGACCCCTCCGCCGTCACCTTTATCAGATGAGCCGCTCTTGAACTGGCGTAACCGGTGCGGCAATCGCAGCGCGGCGAGGTCTTGCGTAGGAACAAGCCAGTACATGGCTCCAGAAGTCATCCGCGAGGGTGACTACGATGCAAGATGCGATTAGTGGAGTGTCGGCGTCATCCTGTACGAGTGTTTATACGGCCACACTCCATTTCTGTCGGAAGAAGGCGGTCGTCAACAGACGAAGCGCAATATTGTCAATCACAAGCAGACATTCGCATTCCCGCCTCGACCCGTGATTTCGAGACGGTGCATGGATCTTATCGTCAACTTAATCTGTAAGAAAGAGAATCGTCTCTCATCAAGGCGGTATCGTTACCGGGACACAAACCCGGAGCCTATAGGCAGAAGTCGGCATCGCCGTGGGTATCAAGACTGGACGGGAAGATCGGTATATCCCCACGATGGAGAGGATATCAAAGCACATAAGTGGTTCCGTGACATCCCCTGGGATCGTCTGCAGCACATCCCTCCACCATTTATCCCACAGCTCTCAGGCTGCGAGGATACACACTACTTCGACGAAGAGGAGCCGATATCTGACTGGTCCGAGTCTCAACCTGAAGCAAGCAGTGAGACTGAAGGCTTGACTCTGAACCCCTTGATCACATGCAACACTGTGAACGGTTTCCCTACTACCCCATCCCCTCGCCTGGTACCTTATAGAAGCCCGGAGAAGGTAGCCGCCATGCAAACACAGCTCGCTACATTCCCGCGCCACGTCCGCGGCGTCATTGCACAATTCGTATCGGCACCCTACGACTCGGCCAAGCTCAAACGCATGGACCGCGAGCTCGAAGTCATGGTTCCCGATATGGAAATCTGCGACGAAATCAAGGTATTCATACGGACGTTCGGGCGTCGCGAGCGGAAGCGGCCCCGCGATAGATTGCTAAGGGATAGAAATACAAAGGGCCCCGTGCTTGACGTGCGCAAGCAGACTGCTTTCATGGGGTACACGTACCGCCGCATGGGAGAGCATAATCCCTCGGGAATCGTTGACTGGGCCGTTGGTGCTGGGGAGGACGGCGGAGGGAAGAGTAAGGGACAGCCGAATAACAGCGCCGAACTGGCTTCTTATCGGGCTTGGTTTCAGGGGCGAGCGGGCTGATGAATACCTGCTACATCGTTGCTGGCGTGGGAAGGCATATACTCGTTGGTGTATGGTGTATGGTGTATAGGGGTAGCGACAACGACGATGGAATTTGTAGGAGAGAAGAAAGGAGAGGAGAGGAGAGGAGAGGAGAGGAGAGGAATAAGGAGGGAAAATGGAGATGGGAGAAGAAGTAACTGGTGCAGTCCAGTTACGCGAGTCGGAAACGAATAGTGTTAGGATAATATCCCTACGCGCAACCTGTATATCTCTTCACGGTATCATCATCACTACCTACCTAGGAATAGTCAGTCCCTAGGTAACCTAGGTAAAAACTCGTTTCCTCTAACACGACATTCATTCATTCATTCATTCATTCATTTAACTACCTCCTCTTTTCTTTCCTACTGTGATTCCTGACTTAGGTATAGGTACCTACTTAGGTAGGTAGTTATGTATATACAAATTAAAATTAGGTATTGTTCATTCATCTTCATCTTCATCTTCATCTTCATCTTCTGATCAACGTAAGGTACAAGGTATAAGGTATATAAGGCATCTCATCTAATCCAATCCAAACTCATAATTTTCATCCCCAAGGTGAAGTCGTAAAATAACCAATCAATCAAAAGAATTTGAAAAAAAAAATCAACTCCCTAACCCCCCCCCTTACCTCACCAACCCTTCTCATTCCCACCAGTCCCCGCACTCGTACCTCTATTATCATCCTCATCATCGAGCTGCTGCTGCGCGAGCCCATGGGCCCCACTAGCCGTAGCTTTAGCATTCATAATCTCCCACTCGAACTCGGCCAGCGTGCGTATTTCGCCGCCGAAAAAGAGCAACCCCATAAGTCCGTCGACGGCACCGGCTAGAAACCCGACGCTGCTTAGGACCAGGAAGGCGAACGCTACGCCGGGGTGGACGTGCCCGACGAACCATACGGCGACGTAGCAGGCTATTACGATGAACGTCCATATGGCGAAGTGGATCATGCGCCAGCGGCGCTGGGCGCGCTCGCGGGAGGAGTATGTCCGGATGAGAGCGAGGACTTCGTCGTACGTGGTACATGGGAGGCCGTCGCCGCGGCGGGCGGCGGAGGATGGGGAGGCGGGGGAAGCGCGGAGTTGGTCGTCGAAAGAGGCGCGGAGATCGAGACGGGAACCGACGCGGTACTCGGAGCCGGTGGGGGATTGGAGATAAGTGCCGTGTTCGAGGGCGAGGAGGGATGCGGCGTGGTCGTGGCTGTTGGATCGGTCGGAGGAAGATGAGGATGGGCGGAGGAGTTGTGTTTGCTGAGGTGGTTTCTTGGGAGAGGGAGGGCGAGAGGGGGAGTGAGGGGGGATGAGGTTGGGAGAGGTGGATGTGTGGAGGAGGAGAGTGGCTTCGACGGAGAAGTGGTCGCTAAGAGAACACCCAAGGTCGGGGTGGCGTGCTAGCATGCCGACGCGGACGTCCTTGACAACCCAACCTTTGGTACGGCTGCCTTCGCTTGTGTCATGGCTTGTTCGCGCTGCTGCCGCAGCTGTTGCTCCGGATGTGGAGCTAGGGGTTACTGAGACCTGTGGAGAGAAGAATATATAGTCCTATAGGAGAGTTAGAAATTGACGCTCTTTAAATATTTAAAGAAATTTATTTAAGGTAGAAATAACTCCTTCACAGGCCCCGTTAAGAGTTCTTGTCTTATGAGATAAATTTAATGGGAAAAAGGATTGAATATCACATACAATACGCTTGCCGCGCGGATCAGGCGTATCTGGCGGAATGACTATCGGCCCTTTCCCCGAGTGCAGGGCACGTTGTTCAGACTTGGACCACCTCCACGTATTATAAGCGCTGTTACTCGTAACACCGTTCTCGACGATGTTATACTGGGCAGAAGGGATCGGTCGTCGACGCGCGCGCTCCAACTCGTGAACAGCCGAGCCAAGAGACGAATTTGGGTTTAGCACCCGCCAGGCGTCCTTGATGGGGGCATGCGCCGTTAGCATGCGGTACGATAATGACAGCGGCACGTCATTGAAGTCGCCTAATGCTAGGGCCAAGTGTCCGCGCTCGGCGGCACCACGGACGAGCTTGGCCATCTCCCAGGACTGAGCGAGTCGATGGACTAGATAGCTGTCCGTCTTATCGGGCGGGTGCTCGTATATAGCATGAGTATGCGTATTGAAAACTTCAACGACATCGCGATCGCTAGGGCCGTAACGGATACGAGCGCACGCAACGCCCTTACCAACAAACCAGTCACCGCGGAAGAAGGCCGTAGGCCTGCCGTTCAGCGGATACCGAAACATGGTGCTCTCCTCGATAGGCCATCTCGACAGGATAGCCAGACCGCCGCCGAAAACACCGCTGTAGTAGAACTTGCCGAAGGGCAGCACGAAGCGCGTCTCGCGCCGGATGCTGCGGTAGTCTTCTTGCGTCCAGCATTCCTGCAAAGCGACGATGTGAGGCGGGGGATCCGCGGAGGCGAGCTCGCGGCCGATGGCGGTTAGACGCTCGGCGCGGTGCTCGCTCAGGTGTAAGAGGCCCCAGCAGTTGAGGGTGATGACATTGAGCTCGGTGGGGAGGTCCTCCATCTTGAGACTCGGCGCTTTGGTTTCCCTTCCCTATGTAGTAGTATCTGATTGTCTCCGCCTGGATGGATACTTGGTGTTCAGACCACCGTGGGGAAGAAAATGGAGGGTGGGTTAGTTCCGTCTATATAAACAGCTGCTCGGGATTATTTTCTTCTTTTTCTCTCTTCCCCTTTGCGACGTTATCACTGCCACGTTTTTTTGCCCCTGTCGTGCAGTATGTAGGAGCTGCAACGTGCTTGGATTAGGATTAAATGATCCTTTAGGTCAAGGCTGTCATCCTAATAATGTTTACTACATACACATATATGTATGTAGTAATTGTCCTTAAAGCGAGATGCACCTCAGGTTGTGGAGGAGTAATAAGCTGCTCGTTGTGCAGAGCTAGGTCCCAAATTGGCTCTTATAGTTGTTGTAAGATGAAACCTGTAAGAAACTGGCGGGGAAGAGACAATGGACGATGGAGAGGAAGATTGTTGCGATACGACTCAAATCATTTGAAATTACCTAGACACAAACTACAAACTACAAAACCACATGTTACTCCTGTGTTACTTGGGTATACTATGTGCATATCACTAGCGATACTAGGCTAGGATACTAATACTACATAGGATACTGGGGATACCATGGTGCTTTCCTACAGGGATCCCACAATAGCAGTTCGTTATTTCCTCATTAATGCTTCCATGCTTAGCTTTGTCATGCCTGTCTTTCAATGCGTGCATAGAAATACACTTTAGAGTTGCAGTCCCCCTGCATTGAACTTCATCCAGATCGGCCATCCATGCCGGCTTCTTTCTCCTGGAAAGGTAGCACCTGCCGAGAACGATTGGTAATTGTCTCTACTGTACAGTTGCCATATGCACCGTGTTACACTGTGTTCCCCATCGATTTAAGTGAGGCGCGTGCCCGACGCGATAAAGATTAGCGGGTTTATAAAGTGGAGCAGTGATAGGGTAATATAGTCCAATCAGAACCCAATTTGATAAGGAGACCCGCCAAAAAATAGAATTCCAATCAGCCTTGTCATGTCGCGTCGTCGTCACATCACATGTACCTACCTACCTATCTCTTTCATCCACGCAAGGCTGTAATATCTCCTATCTGCTTGCAGTGCCCCTCGATTAATAAGATCTAGCTTTCTCAATTGATACTATATCCCGAACAATGACCCCCCGGTAGTAATTACAATACAAGACTCTTCTACAACGAAGACATCATCATGTCTGGCGTTGTTGATACCACTACCACCGCCCACCCCGAGCCACCGACTAAGCGTCGCAAAGTCTTAGTCCACGATGACGATAGTATCCATTCGACCCCTGTCCCACACTACGACACCCCAAAGGAGAAAGATGGCAAGCGCACCCTCAGCGTTTCCATCAGGGAGAAAACCGCAGACAGCCGCTCCGAGAGCCAAAGCCCCAGTCGAAGTCGAAGCCGGAGTCGCGAACGACGCCGCGAAACAGATTACTCCTCCGACGAACGCTCGCCGCGCCGCAGCCGCAGTAGATCCCTCTCCAGCTCTCGCTCACGCATACGCTCGCGCCACTCAAGTTCCGGCAGTCGATCGTCAAGCCACTCCCGCACCCGCTCCCGATCCCGAACCCCAAGATCGCGCACCCGTTCCCCCTCAGACTCGCGCTCCCCTCGAGCCGCAACCTCCCCCCTCCGCAACACCCACAACCCCTCCCCCACACCGCCCTCCCGCCAACTCGCCAAACCACACTACACCCCGCGACTAGTCCTAGCCGGGCACGCGCGCGCAATATCGCAAGTCCGCATCTCGCCCGACGGGCAGTGGATCGCGTCGTCGTCCGCAGACGGGACGGTGCGGATCTGGTCCGTGGCCACGGGCCAGCACGCAGAAACCCTGGTCGGTCATATGGCCGGCGTGTCGGCCGTCGCCTGGGCGCCCGACAGCAAGACGTTGGCCTCGGGGTCCGATGACAAAGCTATCCGCCTGTGGGACCGGGTTACAGGGCGGCCGGCGCGCGCGGGGAAGCCGTTGTTGGGTCATCATAGCTACGTGTATAGCCTGGCGTTCTCGCCCAAGGGGAATATACTAGCGAGCGGGAGTTACGACGAGGCGGTTTTCCTCTGGGATGTGCGTGCTGGTCGGTTGATGAGGAGTCTGCCGGCCCATAGCGATCCTGTGAGTGGGATTGACTTTTGTAGGGATGGGACGCTGGTGGTTAGTTGTAGTACGGATGGGTTGACGTGAGTTTTTTTTTTTTTTTTTCTTTTTTCACCTTCATATCTTGCCCTCACCTCCTTTTAAATACCCTTCAGGGCTGTATAAGTGGCTAACTATCGTTTTTCTACGGTACAGCCGAATATGGGACACATCCACAGGCCAATGTCTCCGCACCCTCGTGCATGAGGACAACCCTCCCATAACATCGGTATGCTTCGCGCCCAACGGGCGGTACGTACTAGCCTTCAGCATGGACTCATGCCTACGGCTATGGGACTACGTCTCCGGCACCGTGAAGAAGACATACCAAGGCCACGAGAACTCCAAGTTCAGCATCGGCGGGTGCTTCGGTACCGTCCCCCCTACCACCACCACCACCACCAGCAAAGACACCGACGACGAAGAGGAAAGCGGAAGGACAGCGACAGCTTTCGTAGCAGCCCCCAGCGAAGACGGCGACATCGTGCTCTGGGACGTCCGCACCAAGGAGATTGTGCAGCGCATCCGGCGCGCCCACGACGGCGTGTGTTTCTGGGTCGACGTCCACGGCGACACCATGGTGAGCGCGGGCCAGGACGGCAAGATCAAGGTATACAAGCATCAGCCAGTAGGAGATACGAGTGCGACAAAAGTCAACGGTGTATCCCCCGAGACGAAGGATACAAATGCGGATGTGGATGTGGATGTGGATGTGGATGTGGATGTGGATGTGGGTATGGGTATGGGTGCTGAGCAAGACGGGGTTGAAGGAAGCGAATCCCCTCTCAAGGATGAAGATGTCAAGAAGGAAGAGTAAAACCAGCCAGGCGAAAGGGGATAGGCGTGAGAACTTGGTTTTTTACGGTAGATATATAGGTACCTAGGTATAATCAGGGCTACCAGGCGACAGCCGCAGGGTAATTGTATCGGATAACTTAGACAGCGCAGCATACCCATCCCATATTTTAATCAGACAAGTACCTAACCTAAGACTACCCGGGACACACTTCATCACGAAACGACCCTCTTAAAATATTAGGTACGTCAAGTCAACTTAAACAGACTATCTATATAAATGCGTCCTCTCATCTATCCATACTTTTTTGAGACGGTTGGCAGTGAAGCCGTGCAATATATTCATAGCCATCGCGTTCGTACCATAAAACTTCGCATTACATCATGATTAATCGATTGTCGTATACTTCCTTCTTCTTATCGTATACCTACAACCGATGACTTCCGTCTTCGCGCCTTGCAGAAGAAATGTTGTTGAGGGTTGGCCGCAACGCCGGCGGTTATCCTCACTTCTGCTGTCATTCCTTACAAGCGTAATTTGCGCAGGGGATTTCCCTTGACCTCGCGCTTATATAGTCTCCCACCCGCCACTATTAATGTCTGCCTCGAGCTTCCTGCTGATGAAGCTGGGGATGCCGTGGCTAAGCCACATGTTGCGCAGCATCGAGTCGTACCGCTTCTGATTGAGGAAGAGCTGACGCCCGTGGCGTAACCCGAAATCCACCTCGCCGTACTTGTCGATATACGGCGCACTGCTGAAACTTCCTGACGTACGATGCAGGTAGAAGATGGCGCACTTGCGAATGTTGATAAACAGCCCAATATTGCCTTGGCACCTGATGGAGAATATTAGTAAATATGGTATACGATGTCAAATAATGAAAAGCGACTTACTTGAACAGCATATGTTGCTGCGCACCCCCAATCCTCATCACAGGCTTGTCCGGCCCTGGCTCTGAGTATTCCATGGTACAACACATGGTCTGTCCGCAGAAGATGTCGCCGCACATTAGACAAACCATAGGATCGGTCAAGTCTTTACCGGTCTTGGGGCATCTTCTCTTAGCGGACTCCTCGATAAGAGTATCGAAGTTCTTGGGTAAGCCGACGAGTTCAAAGATGCCAGGATGGCTTAGCTGGGCGGATCTGAGTGGGGTTTCTTCGATCCCCTGTTCGGTAGCAAAGTGCGTGGTTCTAGCGCGTCCGCGTATTTGATGGCGAAGCCAACCGTCGACCATGGCTTGTGTGCGCGGGGGCCAACCAAACTGGCTACCCAGGGGTGTCAAGGACGCGCACATCTCATCAAAGGATGGTAATCGCAGCGCGGCTGTCAGACGTGAAAGTTCATCTGCTTCTGGAGCCGGAGATATATGGCTATTGAAGTCAACCCCAAGGTGAACATGGAGGAGAACCACTACTTTTCTTAGGAACACTAAAGCGTATTTCTTAACGAAAGAATGGAGGCTTTCTAGGCTATCAAAGCCTGGTTGATCGAACCCAAGGTTAGGTAGATCGTCAGACGGTACCAGGAACTCGTCCCCGACCAGGATTTCGTGGCTGACGTTCATGCCAGCCATCGTGATATAATGAAAGAAACTAGCAAAGTTGTTCATAGCGGGATCTTCTTTATTCCGGTTGTTCATATATTCAAGCCACCTGGAAAGTGCGAGATTCTGAGATACGTTGTGGACAACCTTGACTATCTCAGCAAGATAGCAAAGCCGAACTAAATGCATCGGGTCCATATTCTGCGCGACGGAGACGCCAAACATAGTCTCGCACAAGAAGACGAATACATCTTGAGTTAGGAGCGGCGGGTGCTCGTCGTACGGTGGTAAGGTATCCTTCGCGTCCGTGTTAAAGTAGGCTGATATGAAGAGTTGGAAAAATTGGCGCTCGCTAGCCTTGCAAAATTCTCGTTCAATATCATTAGCTCCCCCATGTCTAAAGCCACCAATTGCTATATATGACGACACCGTCTCAGACAGAATTCGAAGTTGAACTAGAAGCTGCTCCGGCATCCTTTCAATCAAGGTCATTCCGTACTGGGCTTCGATGCCTCGTTGTTGTATCTCTGCCGCAGAAATCGAGTAGCCCACAGACTGGGCTAATACATCGCTAGCATATAATTCATCGTCCCTGCCCTCGTGTACGAAGGTAGCGGGAACAAGTTTGTTCTTACGGAGCGTATCGCGTAGTCGTCGATATATTAGCATCAGCTCCTTGTCACCATGTTGTGATTCTGGCGGCGAATGTGACCGTACACTTGACCCGGGCGTATGCGCGAGGGAGAACGTGTCACTGGAAGCTACTGACGGTACGGTCCTAAAATTACTAGGATCCCAGAATGGCGATTGGCTGGCGCTAGACTTCTCGAACAGACTCTCTGGCATTCTTGTGCGCAAGTAGTTGATGAAGGCAGTTTGGCTCTGATCCCGTGTTACAACTGCAGAGTAATGACGCCCTGTCATGAATGTAGATATGAAGGAAGAGAGGTCTGTATTGGGTTGCAATATCCCGGGGTAAGACTCTTCTTTACCATCCCAGGTGATAGGCAAGAAGGCATTCCCAAGGGCTTTGCAGAGAGGACACACAAATTCCAGACGCTCCAGGGATTCGGGGTGGTGACGTGCTATCTGATGCCCGTGTCGACGGAGGGTCGCTTCCATATACATATCGAAGCAGCTGAAATGCATTATGTGACCACATCCGACAGAGACTGGCCCTGACCGACAGAGCTTGGCTGGGAAACCTTTGCCAAGGCCTTGCCTTTCGTTGTGGAATACTTGTCCATCTTTGTTGACCTTTTCTACTATCTGCCTGTTCTCGTGGGCAAGGCCAAACGGACGGATTGCCTCGGCTGAGCGATCAAGGTTGACTGGAGTATTTGCGGCTTCTCTAACAAAGTCCGGATCTTGAAGGTCAGTTTGTCGAAGGATTTTGCTCTTGGTAAAGAGTGCGAAAGTTCCGTATAAGCGTCCGTCGTCGGTATCTTCTTGGCATAATATGCAGGTACCTCTTGGATATTTCCAGAAGTTCTTCTGCTCTTCCATAGGCTTGGATTCATCCATATCATCCCATTCGTCTTCGCCCCAATCAATATCTCCCTGTTTCTCCAGGAAGTTCTTCTGCTGTTGCTGGAATTGCGCCATGACTTTGGCTTGGCGGTCAAGTGCTGCCTTCTTCTTTCGTTCGCGCTCCTCTTCGGCACTGTGGGCATTCGCCGGCGACGCCGTATCGATCCGATCCGCAGGTATACCTAGTCGCGAGTAGGCCGTATCAAAGTGGCGCGGGTATCTCTGTTTCATCCTCCTTAGAATCAGCGCGATCTTGGCATGGCAAGCTTTGAATTCCTCCTTAGTCGACATCATATCTAGAAGGGACACGATAGTCTTTGCAGCTGGAGCATCCTGCATGAAGTTACTGCGGGCAGACGTCGTCAGGGCGATATAGACGAAGGAATCAATACCGGCCGCGGAATTAGTTTCGTTTGCTTTATCCTCAGCAATAGCAATGAGAATCAAATGTAGCACAACCTGCAAGAATGTCTCTACTCTGGTGAACGGGACCTTGGGCGTTAATTTAGCAGCGACTAGAGGGTATAACAAGCAGTAGTAGATGATCTGTGCGAACATCCCGGTGCTGGTAAATTCGGCCAGCTTCACGAAGGCACCAGATTCGATCGGCCGTAGCTTTGGCTCGTAGACAATTTCTTCGGCAGGTTTCCCAGTCTTTTTAGAGATCCACTTGCGGTAGGCGGCCTCTGATTCCTCCCGCTGATTCTTATTGTAGTGGGCAATGTATGGGTCAATATCCTCGATGAAATGAGGCTTAAGTTCAAAAGTTCCCACGTCAGAGACGCCTTCGGGGGATTTGAACGTAGCCACCTCATCTAGTACGCGCTGGAAGTCTTCTTGTTCGTGGAACTTCTCGGGTAGTTTGCTTGATATCTCGTTGAAGGATAGAGGCCGGAAGCATAGAACATGCGTGATATCCCTGCGCATCGCCATTAGATGCGTCTGCTGCTCATCTTTAACCGGGATGAGCGAGGTTCGATCGCTTAGTAATACGATTAAAAAGTGAATCATATCTTCGACAACATCAAGATGTTGAATCTCATCCTGAGCGCTTGAAGTCTGTTCGAATAACCCCTTGATCCAGTTTTCCATACCAAAACGGTCAACAATCGAGGCAAGAACCCGGCTCGGGTTACAGACCACCATTGCGGTCTGGAGCAGGAAGATATCTCGCGCGTGCGTGACATCCCTGTGTAGAATATTTTTATATGTCCCAGCTTGATGCCTCAAACTAATGCCATTACGCACCCACATTCCAGCCTTAATCTGAGCAAGCCAAGTGCAAACACGTAGAGGATAGTCAAATGCGGCCATGAGATAGTCCTCGGGGGTATAATCTCGCCTAGGCATAGTTTTTCGGCCCATTGAGCGAGGCTTCATCTTGAGCTCTTGCGAGGTGAAGTTCAAAATTGACTTGAGTTCCTGCTGAGACATGTGCTTCCCACACTCGATCAACCACGATAGAGTGTAATGTAACGCGTGGTGAAAACTAATTGATTGCTCTCCCACGGTGAACCTGACCACTTCGAACTTGGCTGCCTCACCGGCGAATTCGAAGTCGCACAACGTCTTGAATCGCACTTCCTCTTTAATCTCAGCCTGGGTAAATCTGGCACGCTCTGCTCCAACCGAGTTGATGATGACACTCTTAGCTGCTGTTCGTATGGCCTTCTCGAGATATGGGAGATCTTGTTCTGGGAGGCTCCGGAAAGAACCTGATAGAAGCCTGCAAAGCCTGTTGATCTCTCGCGTCATCAACGAGGCGCCAATCCAACTATCAGTTTCGTACTCCACATGCTCGCCAACGGCTCGAACGTTCGGGCAAATGCCCTGGTGAAGTTTCACTAGGTCGAGAAATTGCATTAGGTATCTTTCTTCGGTCCTCATCCTCTCCTGGACATGAGTCGAACCGAGGAGGAATTTAAGATCGACGTAGAAGTGGTACATCCGCCTGTTCGTCACCGAACCAGTGTCGAACCCAAGGACAGCACTCGACGAAACCTCCCAGGGATGACCGACTTGCCGAGTAGTCAAGAACGTGTATAGAATGGCCATAAGAGTGGTCAAAAAGTTGCCCCTTTCGACTACTTCGGCAGTAATGGAAGGCGTCGTTAGCATCTGTAATGATATGTTGATAATCGAGTGGTCAGGCTCGCGATCTCCTATAAGATATAACTGCGCCAATGTTGTGTATAACGCAGCGAATCGAAGACCTAATACTCTCTTGAACTCGGGGATAGTGACAACCGTAGAGATATATAATGAACGTAAGTCGTTACGGACTTTCTTCCACATTCTTAGGTCGAAGAGGATTAGCCAATCCAGACGGACGCGCTGGAAGACATCTTCAAATGGATGGACACTATCACGTTCCATATAAGCTGCCGGTGTCTCGACCCAGTACCTCCCAGGCTTTGGAGGCCCTGCTTTACCAGCCTTAGAAAGACCGGGGGTTTTGGGAATTTCAAGATTGGCCTTTGCATATACGGTCGGGGCTATTAACGGCTCAGCGGTATCCGAATCTGATGGCGTGAGGTCCCGGTCCCGGGTCGCGCGTCTCGGTACAGGAGGTGGCGGCGGAGGGGGTGGATAACCTGCCATTGTTGCTTCTTCCTCTTCGAGAGACGCCACGCTTGGACCGATCCAGTCGGGTACATTCACATCGGCGCCGCCAGCGTCCGGTCGCGTATCCACCATCATCACATCCTCATCCTCATCCTCATCCTCATCTTCTTCGTCATCGTTGTCTTCCTCTCCACTGGAGGGGGTCCGATTACCGCCGTCCATATCTTCATCGTCGTCATCGTTATCATCATCATCAGAATCAAGAAATTCTGCTAGAGTAGCTGTGTTGCCCTGCTCAGTCAAGAATCTTGCTCGTTGTATAAAAATCGTAGCTGTATGGGCCTCAAGCGGGTCATATTCAAGCTTCTCTTCGTCCTCGAGGCCATTTTTACCAGGCATCGCATGCGTGCCAGGGCTCCCTTTCCGCCAGGGCTTCAGGAGCTCTTCACAGACAACCATTCGGAGGATATTCTGGTCGTTTCCCACTACGCACCCCGATATGTCGTTTAACCAGTCAATCATAGTTCCACACATCTGCTCTCGGAACGTATCACGAGATGACCGAATAGTGACAGTTATCTTGATATGTTCAAGAATGGTGGCGCGCTTAAGCAACCTCTCTATGCTCGTATCGTATTTCAGAATACTCCGGCCGATCGAGTCGGTTTCTAGTGCTCTGTTATATCCTTCTTTAAGAGTCGTACTGCACGCCCGCGCGACTTGGTCTTGAACTTCTTTTACAGTATGTTTCTCGTCATTCCAAAGCAGCAGCGCATACTCCCCAGGCGACTCGACATCCCCGCCGCAGTAAGTCGAAGCTAAGCGGGACATCTTCTCATCTTTTTCGATAGATTCTCTCGTCTTAGGTTGTCGAAGTTGTTCGGGGGCACAAGAGATGACATCGCAGATGAAATCAAGGACTCGGGAAACTGTCATACGGATATTGGAAGTAACGTCTTCAGGCAATCCAGCAACCTCTTTGCCCTTTCCTTTCGACCGGTCTTCCTCGCGCTCGCTATGAATTGTGCAAAACATAGGAGTTTTCCAGGCTTCGGGATCGCCACAATCACAACAGCCACTGTTCCCTGGCGATATTGAGATCCGTACCATATGGCCTGTGTGATCTGTGGCGTTGAAACATTTGCTACACAGGCAACATGTCTCGTCGGTACTGCAAGTCTTGCAACCATATGACGCCTCCCCGGCTCGAAATATGTGACCACATGCCTTGCCGCGGGCGGCCTCGGTGTATTCGGCTCCCTCTACGGCTCCCTGGGCTTCTCGGAGCTTCAAGGTGCCCTTTGGTGTGAGTTTACCATCGGGGAAAAATAGTCGCAGGTTTTCGGGTCTCCCTCCAGCCATAGACCAGAAGAGATTGTATAAGAGATCTCGACAGGCGGCTTCCTCGTATCGGTAGCCATAACGTCGCGGTAGCTCTATTAGATGTTGACAGAGCTGGAGCTCTTGGGTAGACATAGCGGTGTCCATGGCTAGACTCGACGAATTATCATTTCTGAGATGGAGAAAAGTGGGAGATGGATGGCAACCAGGATGAGAGAATTTGCAGATAGATTTCGAAGAGGTAGAACCGCAGTCGATGGTGGATGAGTTGGTGGCGGCACGTGTGGAGAGTGAATGTCTTCGAGAATATGGGTGCTGTATGTATTTGATAGGTGATGGCGTAAAGGTGGTGTATAGGTATATTAAACTAATGTACCCAGGTAACTAAACGTAGAATGGGTATAATCCACCTGGACAAACAAAGGAATACGCGTCCCACTATGAACAATTGAGAAAGGTAAGTACGGGGGGGGGGAAATAGGTGAAACAGATGAAATAGAGATTTGGTGATTAGAAAGCTCCTGACAAGAAGCGCATTCCATTCCCCCTCCTACGTAACTAAAATCCGTTATCAGTGATAAGATTGCTACCGCAGTTACCGTCAAGTCATCACACTGTTGTGACTCGTTCGCATTAGCAGCTGCGAATCAGCATTTGATCTTTAGCGTCTTTCTTAGGTAATACAGTTTGCCGCCATGTGCTGTTATATGATTATGTACCTTACCTAAGGTATACATACACGCCATATTATTCATATCACCATCAGTATCATAACCAAATGAAAGTGTCACACCTCGTCTAACAAATCCCGTTTGCCCCGTACTTGTAACAAATATGATAATCCTATCAAGTTCCACAATTTGAGGATAGTGTAGGAATACATGCCTTTTTTCTTTTCTTTATTTGCAATAATTGATTACATGTACCTGAGATGTTATAGTCGGACAGGAGAGCATTTAAGAAGTTGGCCAACATTTACACCTTAGTAAATTGAGTTGGTTTAATGAGATTGGCTATTTGTCTCGGGCGCCTTAATTGCAATACTCCGATATACGTCTAGGCAAGCATTCATCCGAGCATCGTGTATTCATTCATTACGGGGAGAAGTAGGCAGAGATATAGCGTTTGTGCGAACTGTTCTATAAGGGATTGTTCCGGTCTATAAGGTACAACTGTACGGTTTTTGAGACACTCGCTCGTCCCCGGAAGTTTCCATGTCCCATCTCAAGCGTTCTCTAATCTCAGGAGTTGGTGGTGGTCGCTTATTCCTCCCGGACGTATCGGGATCGGATATCCTTCCATTGTCGCTTTCGCATTGTTAGTCGCAGCATTCTCTTCGGAGTATCGTTAGACAGCACATACCCCTCGGTTCAAGTTATCCCAGACCTTGTTCATGGTAGTATCATATAACCTAATATCCCGTTAGCAGCTTACGCCCCATTCCCGTATTCCCGTAGAGGACCGCATACATCTCAAAAGCGAAAGCCGAGGTAAAGACAAAACCCAGCATCTGCCAGTTTGTTCGGAAAAAGGCGCTGCGCGATCAATTGTTAGCTTAACGAAGCTCGTGGCTATAGGTAGGGTCGACTTGCTTGTAGAAAGTGCGTACGGCGGACTATTGCGCGATTAGTTAGTTGTGGTGCATTAATAAGGACCGGATAGGGGATAGGGGGTAGACCATACCATGGCTGATACCGTCTAAAGAGGTATATATCAAGGATATAGGCGTGCGACTTTCGGGCAGAGTGAGGAAGGCTATTGGCGTTGCTGAATGACAGACGTCGTGAAGTCAAATGCGTACCTAAGGTAAGTTCCAACTTCGCAGGTTCCAGCCGAAGAAAGAATTGGTGATTTAGAAATGGCTGTTTCTGATTGGTTAAAGCTTAGAGAATCGGTGGTCCACTTTTTTTCTCCGAGATATAGTGGGCTGTTCTTCCATTTGAGCCCCTCAGGCTTCATTCACTCCCGCTAATAGGCTCACATTCTTATATATTTTTCATATGCTACTTCACAACATTTTATTTACAATTCACAATTCCCACCCGGAAAGCCTATTCCAAGTACACACTGGCCTAATACCGCCCCCCATGCCTTCCGAACCGTCGACTGCGGGCATCGTCACAGACGAGAACAGCGGCGAGCGCCGCATCCCAGAATCCGTGCGCGCAGACGGTACCACAAGGAAAGCGATTAAGATCCGCCCCGGGTACAGGCCGCCAGAGGACGTCGAGCTCTACAAGAACCGCACCGCCGAGTCGTTCCGCAACCGCGGCAAAGGCGGCGTCATCGGAGCAGAAGGATTAAAGGAACAAAAGCAGGAAACAGCCGCTGCCTCCGCCGCCAGCAACAAAAACGCCAAGCGCCGAGAAGCGAGGAAGAAGGCAAAGCAGTCGCAAGATCCCGCCGAAGCGGCCAATAGCAATGCTTCTGGGGACACGAACGCCGCCAACGCCGAGGAAGTTGTCGACCCAGAAGCCGAGAGAGAAAAGAAGGCCCGAAATCTAAAGAAGAAGCTGAAGCAAGCGAAGGACCTGAAGAGCAAGAAGGAAGGCGGCGAATCCCTTCTGCCAGAGCAGATAGCCAAGGTCATCAAGATTAACGAGCTTGTGAGGGAGCTTGAAGCGCTCGGTTTCGATGCCGACGGTGAACCCAAGACAAACGCGGATGCGGCGCCAGAGACAGCAAAGGAGGGTTGATTACGCAATTATACAACAAGTATTCAATCTGATGGTTTAAGCAGAATGTTGCTGTAAAATACCCTTCGCTGGAAATCGTGGCGGTAGCGATGATGGCACTATTATATCGGCTATTAAAGTCATGATACCTACACGTCCAAGCAAAGACGGACCAGTTAGGTCAGCACGATATCTATTAAGTCTGGATACCAGCATCACCAGACACAGCGTTAAATAGCTACGACGTCCAGCTATCACCACAAGCGCCATCGACCCAGAGTATTAGACCCAAGCATCCTCCGCCACGGACCCTCGAGGGACATTCAGCATGCCCAACGCTAGCGCTGCATTGTGATAGGCTATAGTCCAGAGCTTCTGCCCTTCTACGGCGAAGAAATCCGGCTGCACTAACGTGTCAGTCAAGCGATTCGGGGCTTTCATGCATAGCGGGTGGTTATTGAATATGAGCGTTTTACATGGAAGCATTATTTAGTCTACTATGTATGAGACTTTTATTCCTAGGAGATTCATGAATCAGAATTATCCAACAACTCTACATAAGTTCGGAATATGGCTTCGTAAAATTTAAGACGCATTTGTATTTAGAATTAAAAGTATGATTATTTCTTCGATACATTTGAGGGATCACGAAATAAGTTGTGACCTGGAAACACCCATTCAATATGCCTCGCCATATTTGCCTTCTCTACCTTCCATATACCATATACACAAATCACCTAATACATCAAAGAAGACAAATCACCCGTGGGATATATTTTCATTTTCAACAATTCATCCTATGTAAGCCCAAGAGGTACATAACATCTCAAAAACGCCAAACACACTATATATAGCCTAGACATGTATAAGCAGATGCGGAACACCTATATATAAATCAAAACAAACCACCTCACCATGCAACTTTTAAGACGTCCAAAAAGCTCGTCAAAGGCGTAAATAATCATAAATACCTCAGTACTCCCCCCTACCGTTAACAACCCCGGCCACATCCCTCTTCTGCCCTAGCCTCCGAGACTGGAGGCCCACAAAGCCCACAAGACACACGCCGATGACCAAGCCGAGCGCGAGCAACAGCAGGTTAACAGGGACGGGGTCGCCGTGGAAGGTGCGGTGGAAGAGGTAGTCGAGGGCGGTCTGGCTGAAGTTGAGCAGGCCGGAGAGGCATATAATAGTGCCGTAGACGGTGCCGAAAGTGCGGAAGCCGAATACCTTGGCGCAGTAGTCGCTGACGGCCGTATAGTAGAACGGCCGGTACAGGACAAACAGAACTATATTGGCGTATGCGGCCCACGTGTACGGGAGCACCCCCAGGATTCCTATCGCCGTCGCGACCGTGACTAGTGTCGTGAGCACTGCGATAGTGCTGATGTGGTCCAGGATGATCCCGATGAAGGGAATCGAGATGATGCCGCCCAGCGGTAGCGCCAGGTCAAAGAAGTTATTTATCTCGATGGCCTTTTCTGACGAGTCGAAAATAGCCTCGTACTGCGGCCGAATAGTGGCAACGAAGTAATTGATCCGCGTCATCTGTACTACGGTGAATAAGCATATCAACACGAACCAAGGCGAGCAGATCTGCTCCCACGCCGTGCAATTATGCATCACGCCCCATACACCACTCTTCTCGTTCCTCGCCTCCTCGCGGCGAGCTTGTTTATCCTTGTCTACCTTGTTAGAACCCAGTAGTTCTTCGATATCGTGCACAACATTTTCGTGGTGCTCTCTTTGTTCCTCTCGGATGAGAGCAGTCTGCTCATCCACCTGATCATCAGCATCCACAACGTCTAATGTGTCCGTTGGATCGGGAAATGCGGGGGCCTCGATCTCTTCGATCATTTCTCCCACAGTCTTGTACGACTGCTTGGGGAGTAATGTGAGCTGGAAAACTAGTATCAATGCCGGCACTATAAGGTAACCAAGGAAGAACCGGTGGTACCCGAAAGCACCTTCTGTCTTGTTATAAATGATACGGTAAACGAGGAACAAGGCGCTCGATGCATCGAACGCCCCTGTAAGTAGCGCGAGGATCAGGCCCGAGTGTCGAGGGAAAGCATTAGATAATTGGAACGAAGATATAAACGTAAACGGTCCGCCCAAGGCAAGGAATAGGTAGCCGAAGAGGAATGCGTCGAAAGGCAAGCTTTTCGCAAAGGACATGAAAAGCGCGCCTACGCTAAGGAACAGAGCACCTAGGATACCGCAGACTCGAGGACCATAGTGATCCAGAACAGCACCGACGGGCAGAGCAGCAACATTGGTGATGACAGCTGCTGCGGTGAACATAAGATTTAGATGGATTTCCACACATGTGTCTCCGCCATTGCATATATCTTGATATGCACCCTCTTTCTTCAAGACCGGTTTCAAAGCGGCGTATCCAAACACAATCCCCGCTGAAAAGAGGCAGAACACGACCGCAACAACAACTTGAACTAAACGCCAAGCCTATGTATTAGCTTCCCTAACGAGACATCCATCGTCACAAATATCCGGAAGAGCCACTTACGTATTCGTTTCCATCGAGGCACCTCAAAGGCGCCTCGAGACTGACCAAGGTGAAGGTGGCCATCATCTTCATCCTCGAAAACGGGGTCCCACGACTCAGGCAGCGGGTTAAACGTGAGCTTGCGCGCCCTCTCCGAAGCAGCAGCAGACGACGCCGAACCCCGCCGCGACCTGAGCCCCTCGGCAGGAACATTGACGAACGTCTCGAGGGATCCAACACGTTGCAGAGACATGGCTGGCGTTATATTATGATTAAAAAAAATAAAACAACAACAATAATAATAATACCCTACCAAAATAAAAATTGGCTAGTTGCAACTATGGGATAGAAAGAAAAGACAAGAAAACCCCGAGAAGAAAGGAAAAGTCAGGATACTTATCCCATGACGATCGACGTTGAATCGAATCGAGCAGCATAAAACCTTAAAAGAGCATAAAGCTAAACGCAGAACAGAACAGAACGAACCAAACCAAGCCAAACCAACCCCAGCTTGGCCTATTAGAGCTACCTAGGAGCTTAGCGCACGAGTCTAAACAGGTGGGGCGGGTCAGAAGGTCATTCGCCAATGCCGGAGCTTTGGATCCCCAGAGCCGTTGGAGCAGCAAAAAAATGTGAGAGTTGACGTTATGTGCCAAGCTGCGGCGGGGAACATCTCCGTACATATGTAAGGTAGTAACGAAACAGACGAGGAACGTCCGCCAATGATAGCGACTACGAGCCGCAATATGGCATTTCGTGGTCGGATGAGTTTATATGTACCTCCTAATGTATGTAAAGACCCTTGAGCGACGCCGGGTGTGGCGCTGATCCGACTTACATACTATACCTCATACAAGACGGCATGTCGCAACATAGTAACCCGGCAATATGATATATACCTATCGACGATGCATTCAATACAACCGGGCTTCGACTGCGTGCTAATATATCGCCAGGCTGCTATGTAGGATAGACTAATAAACAGCAGCTATCGAACTTCTATAATCTTGCATTGCTATGACGCAATATGTTTACAGGGGTGCATTTACGATATGCAGGTGAGAAGTTCGCCAGCACCTCAAATTGACCGCCAAAAGTGACCTGTATACCGTAGTAGTTATTGTTTTATTAGACCCAAAATAATTTTTCGACTATATACATAGAAAAGTCTCGTTTCCTTTTATTAGTTTCATTATGTAAGACTTGTATATTATCTTGCGTTCTAAATTCATATCTAATCAGCCTTATGAGATATAAGCTACTGACATGTGGATCCGGAAGCTACCTGTAAAGAGCCTAGTTAATACCTAGTAATAGTATAGAATCATCCTGTATTCGATCTTCAACCTTTAAAAGGAATCGTCCATATACTAATACTTGTGATGTTTTTATTGTCAGAGCACATCGGAAATACTGTCTCATAATAAATGCAGACTGCTTAATTACTACTTGACTAAGATATTAAACACAAACAGCACGGCATATATTGAATCCCAATTTCGAGAAGGTAACACGTACGTATATATATATATGATAATTCTACAATACAAATTCAAATAACGAAAAGACGAGGTACGTGGTGTAGTAGAATATTACAGAGATGCCGCAAGATTTGAACAACAAATAGAATTGACTTATTGTATGAAATTTTCATTCTCCATGCCGAGCCCTGTCCTACCAACATGTCCACAGAGTATACTCCCAATATCCCTCCAACCACCCCTCCATCAACTCGTCTTCCGAGACTCCTATCCACTATAACTTACGGCCTATAAAGGGCGGCCTTTTAGTTGTGTAAACTCTGGTGAGGGAAACATGTAGTCAAAGGCTCTATACAGAATACATCGGGCAAGTAACATAGGGGACATGTCCACTATCGCATCAAATCATCGACTCTGAGCTGCCATCTCGAGATGTTGCGAAACGTCTCGTAGTTCCAACTCCCGCACGCAACAACCCATCCATCTGCGATCAAAAGCGCAAATCAAGGTATGTCCGGCGTCACCTAGCCACAAAGCCTGAAATATAGACAATAAAAATTAAATCTGTCACATCGCCCACATGACAAAACACGCCTCCGATATTCTGTCGTACTGAGGCGAAATATAGCAAGTATCCATTAGAAAGCAATATAAAACCTAGACCAGTATGACAGAAAACAAGCTCCAACTCGCACTCCTCTAGGCATCGGTAAACGTAACAACGGCCTTGCCACCGCTAGGGATGGTGGTCTATACCAGTTAGCAAAGTATACGAAAAATATATAGATAGAGTTACTTACCGTGCATCCACTGCTGCCAATTGCGTATTCACCATCCTGGAAGTAGCAAGGAATGCTGACATCACCAGTAATGTTGATGTTCATCTTGGGCTTGGCACTGCTGGTAGGCGTGTTCGGGAATAGAGAAATATAGGTGTTACCATCGCTAGACTTGCCAACACCAAGGATAGTGGGAGCCCAGTTACCGCACTCATCGTGGTCTTCAGAGCAGTCCCAAACACATCCGTCCTCGACCGAGACACCGGGCTGGTTGACGTAGTACTGCAGAGTAGTAGGCTTGTTGTCCCAGTGGTAGTAGTCGGCGGATTCGATATTGGCCAGCTGGCGGACGGCGCCAGGCTGTGCGTCTACGGGGATAACCATAGCCTCGATACCGGGGTAGTCAGTACGGCAGATAGCTACATTCTTCTGCATCTTGTTGTTGATGGTAATACCCGGGACACCTGGTTCGCATAGAGTCTTGATTTCGGGTCGGCTAAGCTCGAGATAGCCGTCATCATTGCAGTACAATCCACCCACGGATTGTTTGGTGCTTCCCTGAGCCGAGGGCCATTGCGACTTGACATATCCTTCGGGGCAAGCATATGAGTAGAATCCAGGCTGCTTAGCCATTCCCTTCACACCAGTCTCGATGAAGCTGATGGAGAAGTCACCAAACTTGTAGCTGGGTGTGTATTGAAGACCGCTCCAGCCACCAAGGCCGAGCCACTCAAGAGGAACAGCACCGTACTCCTCAGGGAAGTGGTCGCACTTGATCTTGCCATCGGGGAAATCAGCATCGATACCAGTGGCGTACCCGGTGGAATCGGAGCTCGAAGAGGTCGCAGCCGGGGCGGAAGAGGTTGTAGTAGGAGCAGCGGAAGACGACGACGAAGAGCTCGAAGTAACCTTCTCGATGAAGACTGCATCGCTCTTGGAGGACGAGCTGCTAGTAACGGCAGGAGGGGCAGGGGGGGTGAAGGTAGGGGTAGTCTCGCCAACGACGACGTAGAGACCCTTGTCCAAACCATTCTTGGCCTCGTCGGCGCTCACTACCTTATCGTCAAGCATGTACTGAGTGACGGTGGCAGGAACATAGGTAGTTTCAACATCGCGCTTCTCGGCCCCGGCGTTCTTCTTGTGGTGATGGTGGCCATGGTGGTGGGGCTGGGCAGCCGCGCTGGCAGCAAAAGATGCCGCAACGGCAAGATTCAAGACAGTAACCTTCATATTTGTCGAAGTTAAACCGGTGAGTACTTCTTAATTGGTATTATCAAGTTTGATAGTCGTGGCCTGGAATCGCAATTCTAGATAGAATCATTGTCAGCGTAACTACTAGTGGAGGGAATGGTAGCCGTGTCCAGTACTGGATCCGAGGGGAGGGGGAGGAGAGCGCTTGTGGGATCAAAGGGAGGTTTCCGTGCAACAGTATTGTGTAAAGGTAGCAAGTCGTAATTCAAGCTGTGTACTCTATGACGAAGCGACGATGCATATCTGCGCATTGGCACTTACCGATTGAGCTGGTGAAATTGCGTACAAGATTTATCAGTTGCTGATCGAGATAATCGCTAAAGACAAGGAATGTCAAGTATTAGATTGTTAAATTGTTGATTTGTTTGTATCGCGGGTGTATGTAACGAGCGTATTTGCGGTCCCAAAGGAATGTGGTAGAGAGTGGATTGACTCTCAGTTGGAAGACGGCGCGATAGAAAGGGAAACAATGAAGATTCACAAGAGATGGAGGGAGACGGGTGAAATTAATTGTTTGCAGGGAGACAGGAGGTTTAGGGGGGACAACAGGTACACGAAGTCCCATGGCGGGTCCTTCCTCTGGGGTGGCCTAGATTCATCCAATAGTATGGAGGCGCTAACCTAAACAGGAGATAAGTGGCAGTGTAACAGCATGAGAGCCTTGAGAGGACGGCCAATGCCTGACCGAGGATGTCCACTTACATGTCCACTACTGCAAGGTACGGCGCACTATTTCGATTCCTGCTGAAATTACCATGACTTAGCATGGTACTTACATGGTAAGTGCAGCAACGTCTGCAGGGGTTACATTTAGGGCAAATTTGACGGCGGGTGTGCCACGCACCATTAGATTCCCGGGCTGCTTTCACATTTTCTCAGTACCTCATAACAAACAGCAAGTATGTACCCAGGTGTGCCGCCTAGCCGATCCACCGTCTACAAAACCAAGTTTAAAAGCTGCTTGAGTGCAGGTGGCTATGCTGCCCAGTACTCGGCATCATCTCATATGAAAATACAGGTTCTCATCACCACAACGAACAATACGAACGTTCACAATGGAGAACTTCATGTCCCATGGGTTAGCAAATTACAGAAGAGTGCGCAACTTGATGACGACAGTCCTTTTTAACTATTTTTCACTAATAATGGCTTGCATACCTAAGTCAATACAGTGTTTTCTCTTATGGATAATCTCTTGTATTGTGCTTTATTTACATCTTGCAACTTCGTTCATGAATATATTATGTACTTACTATCATGCTTTAATTATTTAACAATTTGTCACTTTTTCAATACGTACCGCATCCCATAATAATAGAATGCCTAATGTCCATGTCACTCCAGTTTACCCAGATGCCACAGCAGCTGCACGGATAAATCAACACGTTCAACAAAAGCAAAGGGAGCAACAACGGGAAGAACAAAAATGGCTTCTACGATTGTGGGTAAATATAGAATAAGATGGGCTAATAGCTCGATCCAGATCTCCTTTACACATGCCACTTGTGGATAGGTTGCGCGTCTGTTCCCTTGCTTTTAATTGCTGCAATTTCGGGACTTGTGACCAGGGGTATCTTCTCTCCTACTGGCTGGAATTTCTCTAGCAGTTTGGCAATTATCCCCTTTCTTGATTCGACCCTCTACAAAGATCGATACGATGGCTGATCTTCATTCCATGCAATAAGACTATCCCGTCATCCGTTGTTCCTTCGGGGCTTCCATCGATGCACACAAAGATTGACATCTTACCAAAACAAAAATAAACGCTTGTGGATTCAAAAGAACGCTGATCCATGAGGCTGCTTGGCTACTATTGTCGGCATTGCCATGTGGTTTCTCCATACAGTTTAAGTGTGTATATCAAGATATGCTCATAAATGACAGATCAATAAACCAATCCATTGGTATGCCATTTGGGGCTTTTGATTAGCGAATCTTCTTCATCCACGTATTATATAATCTACAGTTATCACTTATACTAAAAATACTTCAATGCTCTCGAATCCCTTACCTTGAAGACTAAATTCAATACTACTTTTAGATCAACTAGCAAGAGACGAGGATACCTAGCGCTCATTATGAGTAGTTAATAAGGCCTATTTATAGTATCTCTATATAACTGTGTGTTTGTCATTTTTAAGACTGTCAGAAAATACACCCACGACGATATATCATCATATACTAGTATATATTTCAACTTAATACCAACCTAGGTCTAGGTGTCTATCATCTTAAAAGGTAATTGAAGTATGCTCAAAAGCGTTCACCGTTAGTCCCGAAAAGTATCCACGTTGGCGCTTAACTGGAGTGGTATAGTAACGTTTCGCAGCTTACCACTACAGCCGGTATTACAAACAGACGTTGGATACAATAGGGTCAGCTATGATACCCGCATGAGTCATGTGTACCTATTCATGCAGGTTCCCGTCATGAACCTGTCTTACTGCGGGTACCCATAAGGTGAACTCGTCTTCCCTAACCCTCGGGCACACGAAGCTCTTTGAACAATATAATATATAATGGTCGGCACTATACTTCGGGTGATGACATGGTAATCGTCTAACCAGCTATTTTTAGGAACTTGGACAAAGTCCCCTATGCTCCAATGTGTAATTTATGTTAGAAGTGGCATGGTTCTAGGATGGCCAGCATGTATAACATCATTGAACCGTTTTTAAACTTGAATCAACTATGTGTGCCCAACCTAACAAAGAGCGGTTTCACTCGGCAATAAAAGCACACGAACCACAGAGGCAGTGGAGTAACGTGGATATCTGAGACTTTCTTATTGAAGGTTTCATCAGCATGTGTATAGTAGGCGTTTATTTAAAGATGTCGGACAAAGGTTCTATATGCCAAGTGAGTGTCGCGAGGCTTAATATTTTCAAAGTAAAATATAATATAGAGATACGAATAAGAAGTGAGAATACAAGTCTATTAAAGCATGTGTTAGGCATGGACCTGGCTAAAACCGGTCCGCCGATAATTATAACCGAAAGCTCAGTCTCAGATATCCCACCGGGCTAGTAATGTAACAGGTATAATGAGACCAGGTTATATTAGCCTAGGGCTCTAGATATGAAATTATATTGATGCTCTCTAAAAGGTTATGATGTCTGTTAAGTAAAAGCAGATGAATTTTTATTGAGGTTAGAGTAGAAGTTCTCATCGATAATGATATAGTCCCCCTCCCATCTTGAGAAACAGTGAGAAATCAGCTAAAGATATAGGGTTTACCGTTCTCTAGGAGCAAACTAAAAGTTCATTTCTATAGTCATTACCATGCCAGTATGGATGATAAAAAAGGAGGGGGAGGGATAGTCTAGCCTAAGCCGTTACTACAACTCTTGACGCTTGAGAGCACGTACGATGAAATATGAAAGTCCATTGAACCTGATGTTATGGTTAAGATATTTAGTAGCTGTATCTAATATGTTAGGGTCGAGAGATACCCTAAGTATTAGTCGTATGTAGTATGTAGTATGTCGTTTACACAGCTACCAGAGTCGATAACGACTTTTCCTCGCCGTGTGTAAGACAGTACACTTCTCATGTTGAATAGTAAAACCTACCAACTAATACATATGCACACTGCTAGGTAGTCAGTGCTGACAAGTGGGTTTTCCCTACACCTATGAGTTACTTTGTTTAGGGTAACTGGTCGTTAAACAAGCTGCGAGGTAATCTCAAGGGCGGCTGGACATTTATTAACCCCTTTATTTTAGTCGACAAGTCTTTCAACGAGAACTACTCTTCCTTCCATCCTTATGGTTGTAATGATATTTGATGGTCGAGTGCTCATGTAAATGGCAGCTTACCTTTTACTGCACCTATAATAGTCCTTATCACCAAAAGCGAAAAGATACTAGTCATTTTCAAGAGGAGCCTAGAGCCTTGCAGGTAGATGTCTTGGTAGGATTGGTTGCTATATATTATTCTGGACTCTGGGGCTAACGCAGTTCAAACCGTGAGAACCAGGTCGTTAGAATTACTAGTCTAGCTAAAAATTCGTTTCTTCCGAGACCCATTCCATTGGCGCCTCTCATAACTACTCCTAAATAGCTGATAACCAAACAAGGCCGTAGGACTATACATCGCCATGATTTTAGATGACTTGAAGACCCCTAATCCCACATACGACATCCTAGGGGGTGGCTCCAGGATTGGTGGTCGTGTATACACTCATCACTTTGGCGATGAGCCGCACGACTACTACCATACCGGCGCTATGCGGTATCCTGATATCCCAACTATGAAGCGTACTTTAGAACACTTCAAGCTCACCAAAATGCCCCCGATTTCATATTATCCGGATGGCGAATCCAACTGTCCGCGCACGTTTGGTGCCCGCCTCTTAAATCCGGATATGGCGGACCTGTATCATGCCAGCAAGAAGAACGGCGGCTGTATACCGAACGATGTTGATAACATATAATAAACTCTTGAAATATGTCTTTAGTACCTATAAAAAGGCACTAGTTATATAATAACTTCGATATCGGTTTTGCCGAGCTTGTAACTGTTGACAACTTTAGTACTCGGGAGTTCCTTAGACGAGGTAAGTCACATGGAGGGCTGCGTCGGTATGACTTCTCTACTCGGTGGATGGTGACTTGGAATACGTCGACCGACTTGTTCGATCGGGCCTTTCCCGAGAGCGTCGTAGATTCGTTTGGCCTTGACAACCCTAGGATGGAGATAAGAATGGTTTCGTGTCGACGGAAGCGTCTCTTCTTACTGGCACGGGGTCCTGGGGCTTAGAGGTAAAGTGTACCTGGACGAGCAAGCAAGTTGACGCTGCTAATATCGACCGAAGACCACATGAAGAGGACAACATGTCGGTTAAGTATAATACTAACGAGGAGACATCCCGTCAAGGATACTGCACCGTGTTTAGTGCCTTGTTGCTGGGCTGCTTAGGACGTGTTGATTTGCATAGGCTTGAGTTGCACCCGTACCAGAAGGCCGCAACCCGTAGACTACACTACGATAACTCTGTCAAAGTAGCACCTAGGGTTAAGTATCCTTGGTGGATCATTGACTGCTGTATAAAGCAAGGGGTGTTGCCTCGACAGACTTACTGTTGTGCACTTTTGTCTATCCGTCCTATAACCTAAACGATGGTGCCGATAAGCCAGCGGTACTGTTGGTATCGTATATTTAGGTAGTTACATGACACGAGACGTCTTGGATTATTAGTTGGCGAGGATGAGTTGATCGAGCTAATATTGCGTGACTCGGCCTCGATACACTCACAGCACATAACGTACGAGTGTATCAAGATTGCCTAAATGGGCATACATCACTCTTATTCGTGGGCGCAAGGCCCGACCACGGCCGGCGCTTTTGTACTCTTCGGCCTAGGATAGTCTAGCAACTTGTACCCGCACCTGGCCTGGCCGACTGCTGATAGCAAGTTCCATATCGTTGGTGAGGCGTCTAGTGCGCATAGCGCCTGGATACCTGGCACCCTCGACAGCGCCTATGCTGCTGTTTTCTAGTTACCCTATCCCTTTGATATATGGGAATATATCATCAAATTGGAACAGTACCGGGGTAAAGCAACTGGGGTAGCCGACTCAGAAGTCGTGATGAACGGAACCGTACATTTACAAGTTGCATTGGGGAGGCCTCGTAAAGAGGATTAAGTAGAATATGTACCTATGAATCTCTGAAGCGATTAGAGCTATCTTGGGATGCCTGTTTTCGGGCGATTAGTAATATTCTAGACTTTACGAGTATTACCGATGCGGAGATGCTATTCATGAGTTTGGACAGTGTTAGAGTGTGCAGATTCTAATTCAGAACAATAGCTTAGATTCTATATTTTACTCTACCTATGTAACTAGAATTTCCGAGGTATCGTAAGGGGACAATAGTAGAAACTCATGAACGCATTCTGCTATCTGTTTTGCTATTTGGAACTGAGGGGAACTGAGGGGAACTCGGGCTCACGGTGAGGCCGGGTAGAAGTGGGCCTCGGTGACCTGGCCGGGAATTACGGGACATGCCGTTTTTTTGGCGGACAATTATTCGCCGACTCCGTCCACGTTGTTGCTTACCTGATACATAAACGTGAGGTGTCAACATGTCTTGTACTACATGTATGCACCTATATCTGTAGTGGACGGTGACCGTTGTTGGGCTAGCACATAGTAGATCGGACCTGGACGTTATCCGCTATTGAGGCTCAGTGGTACATCTTTGGAGATGCGATCACGTCTTTGCTGAGCGAGGCTAGAGAGACGTTCTTGAATTTTATGTCTAGGTACAATGGGTGCTACATCGCGAGATACTGCATTGCTGCTTTAGCCCATCATCTCAGTACCTATATGTAGACTCATCTTTTTTTTTCTTCTTCAAAAGAGCTGATTCTTTGATGGCGGCCCAAACAGGTGGTTGGCTCCATTATCACGAGCATTGATGATCCGTGGAGGTCCCGATTTGGATGGGACTAGTGGAGTATTTGACCGCTTTTAGCGATTAAAGATAGACTTGGCGTCTGTGGGGTTACAATCTGGTTAGGCGAAGTATATAATAGGACTTATTATGTAGACTGTACGGTATCAGGGTATGTATGTTATTGCAGGATATAGGTGATGGGGTTGCATATAATGACGAGGATTTGACACTAACAACATCTGACTAGGTATATTTCGCGATATGTATTATATGCAAACTGTAGTGAAGTTGAGGAGTTTAGTTGACGTCTCGACGTGCGATGAAGGTCTCGGATGTCCGATTTCTTACGATGAGTACCTATTTCTCTAAATTCAGAGGTAGTGTACGTAAAGGTAGACGTAGATAAATTTGGGGGTGGGCCGAGGCTTAGAATCAGTCAACCAGTTGAGGCAGTCTGGCTTATATAGGTAGGTAGTTGGGGTGGGTCCATAGGGTAAGGAAACGGCAACCACATCATCTCAGGTGGTACTCTATCAACTCTACCGCGGCTTGAACTTGCCCATTTTATGTATATGTACTAGGTACCTACCTATCTACATAATACCTACATGTATAATATCGTATACCTTAATGTACGTAGTTAGACATGAATATACTACATGTAGTATGTCGATAAAATGAAATGTTGCCAGCCCAATTTTCATGTCAAAAACAGATTGGTCAGATCTTTTCTAATTTGTAATGTAAGATCTGCCGCGGAGACACCTGGCGGTGATGCTCTACTGTATGCATACGCTGATACGGTACCTATCTGCTACAATCTGCAAGCGCCGGTTGTACCTTTCTAATCTGGGATTGATGACGCTATTGGCTTAGATCAAATCAGCCACGGACGTGTTTGGAAGTAACCTGTCAGTTTTTACATATTCACCAGCCCCGACCACATATACCTTGCTCTGGAAGGACCTTACCTGAACGTTGTCTGGGAGTATGAGTCAAATATACTAAAGAAAGGACAACTCTAAATGACAATTCTTAACCAATTTTTAGAACTTTAGTAGGTAGGTAGATAACTATGTAATAACTCAACAAGAAACGAACGTCATTGCTCCGTAGGAGGTCATGTACTTATCACTGTTTCGAAGGTTTGGATTTGTATAATGACTGACCGATCTTTGTCCTTGATAGATGTATGCTGGGTCTTTGTTCCACAATATGCCTCCTACAGTAGGTTACAAGGTATTCAAGCCACATATAATTTTTACATCTAAGTAGCCCGTGAGCTTAGGTATAGCTCTTACATACCTGAGTTTCGCACATATATACATCTATGTATGTTGATAGGTCTTAAACTTATTTCTTAGGTAGCTAGGACAAAGAGTTTAGGTATCTGCATGTTCCTAAGCGAGGCGAATTACGCATCGACAAACTTGCTGCACACGAAATACGCACTCTGATGATGACTAGGTTGTACCGCCACACCCACACGATACCTATAGTACCTAACGCACACCGGCTAAGTGATACATATAAGCTTCTATATACACGTACTAACCTACAAATAGAATACTTCACATCATCATCAAAAGTCGATGGGTAGTAATATTACAATATCTTTGAGTTTTCTTAGGTTTATTATCCATATGTAAGCTTACCAAAACATTAGGTACCTGGTAACAGGTTACTTATCCGTTCTCGATGTTTGTAGTGTAGGTACATGTAACTATTGAGAGTTTCTGCATGCACTGTACCTAGTTGGGTAAGTACATGTATTGTACCTAGCTTAATCCATCACTGTGTGGAAGGACCTAAACGATACCTAGGCTACAGTGCGGAATGACCAAGCTAGACCAAACCAAAATAATTCCGACACGCATCAGCGCCAATAAACTGGAACTTGCCGCCGCCTCCGCCTCTTTTCCCCTTCTCACTGCCACCTGCGCCTGCACCACCACAATTTGACGTTTCCCCCCAAGCACTTTTTTTCCTGCTCATCCACAACCTACCATCTCGTCTTTGCGGCTCAGTCGTCCACTTACACTGTTGACCTGCCGAATCTCTACCCGCGCAACCCAGTGCAATTGTATTGTCCTTAACCAATTTCTATCGGGGAAATATACAAGAAGGAATACCTGATCCTTTGATTGACGAAATTATTACTCATTTATAGTAAGGAGAAAAAAAGGAAAAAAATCCTAAGAGATCAGCATTTGGACGCGCTTTGCCGCGATCATCAACAACACCATCAATTCATAGCAGCAGCCACGTCCTCCAGCCACACATCTAGCCTTGCTATCCATCGAGCTTAACGATGCGTCGTTGATGCGCCTGAGCTTCCTTCGCGTCTCTTCTACGTCGATACCGAGTCATTTTTTCGTAGGGACCTTAATCGTGTTCTTGGTAATTATTGTTTGGACCTATGGCGTCCGAGAAAGGTCCCGTCGCGACGGAAGCCCCGCCCTTCTCATCTAACACCTCCCAACCTACGATTTCCTCCGATCCTGTTTCTGTCGAGACATTAACTGCTGAAGCTGCCCGTGCGACGCAGTCGCTTAAGAGACAGCGGGAATCTTCGCCTGTCTCCCCGTCCTCGGCGTTATCAGCACTCCATCGGGAGCTGTCGCCATCAAAAGTAGCTAGGCTTGGCCTGCAACCGAGATTCTCTCCACCTTTAACTGGAGCTGCAGCCGTCGAGGAGGAGCGGCGCAGAGAAGAAGAGCAGTACAAGATACAGGTTTCCGGTGCTAGCGACAATCCTGCCTTCAAAGCTCAATCTGCATTGATGTCTGCCAGCGCTCTCGCCATGAGCCGGCCTCAGGAAGCTCCTCAGGATGTGCCTCAAGATATTCCACAGGACATTTCTCAGGAATCCCGTCAGGAACCACCTCAAGCTGCTCCTCATGTAGAAGACGTGCAGCCTGCGCCTCCTCCCGTCTCCATACAGCTCCCTGACGCCCAAAATTCAGAACCAAAGCCCGATGACATTAGTCCTCAGAGCGCGACCAGCTTGGGTAGCTTAGGGGGTGGATCTGGCGCGCCGGTTACGACCAGCCCTGGACCTATGGAGCTTGATGGGCATAATGATCATTCCGGCTTTGGAACGCAGCCGCCAGCCCCTATGGAAGAGAAGGGGGTCACTTCGCTGTCGTACCCTGGCGTTCTTGCTCCGACCAACATGCCAGCTCCTCCGATCCGGGGCATGAGCATGCCGATGACACCGAATCAGCAGGGCGGACCACGCTCGCCGAATTCGAAAAAGCATAAGTGCCCATACTGCGAGACGGAGTTTACGCGCCACCACAATCTGAAGAGTCATCTCCTGACTCATAGTCAAGAGAAGCCATATGTTTGTCAAACATGTTCAATGCGTTTCCGTCGCTTGCATGATCTTAAGCGTCACACTAAGCTACATACTGGGGAGAAACCCCACGTATGTCCAAAGTGTGACCGTAAGTTTGCGCGCGGCGATGCTTTGGCACGGCATAGCAAAGGTCCCGGCGGTTGTGTGGGTCGTCGGAGTAGCTTAGGAAGCTTTCTCGGCGAGGAAGAGGTGGACGGTTCAAGCCACATGGAGGGCGATGATTCCGCGATGACTGGTGTCGTGTATGATGGTTCCAACGAAGGTGAGTTGACGGAGGAAGAGAGACGGCGTCTTAGTTTACCCAGCATAAAAGCTCAGCATGTTCAAGGTAACCAAACACTACTCGAACTCTACGTTTCACCTTTTTTAACACCTCAACCTTCAGGGTCTGCTACGGGTCGACTCTATCCACCCAATGTGGATCGTGGTTCCGGAAGTTCGAACGCGTCCCAGACTCCCGGCACCAGCATCTCATCTCTCCCTGTAGGCGCTAGCAACCCAGCTATGTACGCTCAAAGCGCCATGACCGAGAGCCCTAAACCCTTAAGCCCCTCTGGCGGGCAGGGCCATGACTCTACAAATATTAATAGACAGCGCTCGCCGAGCCTGACGGCGCAGTTCCAGCAACAGCACTTCAACCGTCACCAGTCGGATCGGCATACACCTCCAGGTTTGTACAGCCCAGAGTCTCCTAATGCACACTTTCATACTGAGAATGTCGAAGTGCCTGGATTTGCCGCGGTCGATGCTGCTAGATACGCCGCCTCCGCGGGAGCTATACAGAGCTCCGCCCCTGTCTCTCAATCGGCGCCTGGGAGCTCGGGCCAGCAAATAGTCGCTGGTCCTGGGATCGGTCATTCCCACGCATCCAATGGTCCTAGCCAGAATGGCGGCAGCGGTGATAGCACTAGCAACAATATATTTGCGACTGATCAAGGCATATGGGCCTACATCCATGGTCTCGAGGAGCAAGTCAGGCAACTGAACGAACGTGTCCAAGCCATGGAAGCAACGGGGAGATCGCAAGAGGAAAAGATTACGTATCTGACGAACGAAATGACGGCCCTTCGAAGCGAAGTCGAGATAAAGACAGATGTGACCGATAAGGTTAGCTGAACTGATGATTTTAGTTGAAGATCATGTCATTATGAAGTGAGAGACACAGCGGAGCGAAGAATTTGTTGTGTACGCATGGTGCATATGATGGATCCAAGGGCTATGCATCTGATTCTCTGCTGTCGCTGCCTTTCCCGTTACGGCGGACGTAGGCTTGTCGTTTTAAGGGAGGCGTTTATGGAGTTTTCAAGTTGCCTACGAAAAGCAATGTTTCTTTTTTCTGGTCTTCTAACGACTTACTCGAGGTCTTTCGTTATTAGTTTTGGTGATATCCCTATGGGTTATTTCGGACTCGGAATCGGGTGGAATTGCAGCAAAAAATAATTCTACATCGACCATTTCCACGTCTATGTATTATATACTAGTGCAGATAGAAGCCTCGAGGCAGGGCAAAAAAGGCAAAGCCATCGCTACATTAATGAATGCTATCAATAAATCATCTGCTTAATTATCTACACGTTTACTTGGGTTTCTGGTGTTTTTTTATGGTCTGATCTTGCTTGTGTTTTATTTGAGCTGTCCATAAAACAAAATCTTTCTCTGCTCATAGTATGCCTGGTGTAAAATCATACCAGTGAGAAGAATTGCCCAGATAAAGACCTAAGCTAGTAGTAGAGCTCATACATGATACCTTAAGTACTTAAAGTTACCGTTGATCTCTAGCTGTGAAGTCGCTGTTCTGGGGAAGTCATTATATTACCTAAGGTACCTCTAACGACTGGGCAGGTGGAGCTTGAGCCACGCACGGCCACAACCCCACCGGACAGCCCGCTAACTCGGTTGGACATTCAACCTGTACGTACCCTATTCCTGGCTCGTGCGCACACGACTTGGGGCCACAACCCTCACACAAAATTTTCCTACAATCACTCGGGGCTAGTGCAGGCAAACCTAAGCGAAGCCTTCTACCAAATTATCCACCTCCAGTCTAGAAACTCAACAACCCCCCATCTCAATCTTGAACAATTTCGCTCTTCGACAGCGACAACCCACATCCGATCAGCGAAACTTCTTGAGCATCAACCAACCGCAATCATGGCTGACGACCCGGACTACGTACGTTATTTAATCCCGCCGTTGATTATTATTTCTGCTATGGAGAGAATATTCGATTGAGGAATATGCGACTGACTTTGGATGCGCAGAACGCTGAGGAGGCCGCCGAGCTCAAGAAGAGAAGACAGTTCCGCAAGTTTTCCTACCGAGGAATTGACCTTGACGCGTATGTTATTATTCCTACATTCGAATCCCATGTAGACGCGACTGTCCGGTCGCAAATTCCGCCCAGATTGGTCTTTAGACGGGATGGGTCCGGATTGAATATTTTGAGGCTAACATGATTTTCTACGATAATAGTCTCCTCGACCTCAGCTCCGAGCAACTTCGCGATGTCGTCCACGCCCGAGCCCGCCGCCGGATCAACCGAGGTCTCAAGCGAAAGCCCATGGGCCTGATCAAGAAGCTGCGCAAGGCTAAGCAGGAGGCCAAGCCCAACGAGAAGCCTGACCTCGTCAAGACGCATCTGCGAGACATGATCGTCGTCCCCGAGATGATCGGCAGCGTCATCGGTATCTACTCCGGCAAGGAGTTCAACCAGGTCGAAATCCGACCTGAGATGGTTGGCCACTACCTGGGCGAATTCTCTATCTCATAGTACGTCCAGGACACCTCCAGAAGGACACATACATATATATGGATAACTAACAACTTCTACAGCAAGCCCGTCAAGCACGGTAGACCCGGTATCGGTGCTACTCACTCTTCTCGATTCATCCCTCTCAAGTAGTCAGTCTGTGGAAAGTTGGAGGATTCTTGCACTTGCATTCATGGATTGGGCGAACGGAACGGTTCTTTCTCGGTAGATAGGCAAATGACCATCAACCGAATGCGCTACATGATAATGATATGAGATCAGTCTGCGCTGAACACATTACTACGCGGATTTCTTTGATGCCGTGACTGCTTTGTGCCTCGTATTTCTCGCGTACTCATCTGACAATCCAATGTCTACCTACGTAATTAAGTTACAGAGGTCCTAGTGTTTAGCGCGATAAGGTATTTTGTGTCCGTCTTCCCTAGTGTGCTAACCTGGACTGGATAATGACCATTAATTCCTAGTGACGTAGTTTGTCTGTCAGTAATTTGTTTATCCATGAATAGGTAGCCTACATGCTTGCTAATATATGGGTTATAATTCATAAATGTTGACCAGATTAAGAGAGGGCCCCGTACTGAAATTATATTCGTTTACGAAGTTCTTATATGTCAAACTCTTATAACTGGCAAGATGATATCCCAACGGCAATCCTTAGCAGATACTAGTCTTAAGAGGCTTTATATATGCGGCACTCGATATAGTATATCCAGAATTGGTGTTTTCCAAAACCAGATACGAAAGGCATAATATAGAGCCCTAACAAATCCCAAAGAATCAAATCTAATCGGTAAACGACAAAATAAAGAGGCTATTGCTTATCTAGCAGCCATCTGTCTGCTTGTTTGTCGGAGCATGTCTAGGTACCTAACCTAAGGTATGTTATGTTTATGTACATTTTGCCGCGCAGAGATATATGTTAGGTAGGTACCTAGGTAGGTAGGTATATATGTATGTACGCGCCCGTTACGAAGTCTCCTGCTTTTGCTCCTGCTCCTGCGCCTTGGCCTTGGCTAACAGGGCCTTGGCTATGCGCTCCTCTTCCTCGGCGGCTTTCTTGTGGTAGTGCGCGGTGACGTGGTCTAGGTTCGGGTAGTGGCCTGCTGGGACGTTCCAGGGGGAGCCGGAGTAGAGGAGTCTGGGTAGGGGGGGGTGGGTATGTTAGCATTGGATCTCCATATATATATATATATATATATATAAACTTTGCGATCTTTTCCTTATATTTATTTATTTATCCTCTCCTCCTATGCGTGTTTCTGCCAAATAATACCGTAACAGGGATGGGAAAGGGAGGGAAGGGAAGGGAGAAGATGAAGGGACGTACTCGGGCGTCTTGAGCTCGACGTGCGTGCTCTTGCCCGCGTTCATGAGCAAGTGCTTGTCGTGGGCGGCCTGCTCGATCATATTCGTGCGCAGGGTGTTGCGCAGCTCCCAGTCGTTGAAGTAGTCGAAGCTACGCAGCCACGTGGAGACGCTGGACTCCTCGCCGTTGGGGCCGGGCCGCGAGATGGAGTAGGCGACGTAGCCGGCGGGGACGGCGGCGGCGAAGACGTAGAAGGCTGTCTGTGTGGGCGCACTTAATTTTAATACCATATTCTATATCTTCCTTGCGGCATGGGCAAGACGTACTCCTAATCCCTCCGCTGCCTCGGGCGCGGCGTGGTGGTGATGGCTGTCGTGACCGGAGGCGTAGGACCGCGAGGCTCGCGGTGCGGTGGTGGTTGTGGTTGTGGTAGGCCGCGCGCGCCTGGCTGCGCAAGCTGCTCTGGTCCGGAGAGCCTGCATCTCGGGGTTATGTGGTGGTGAAATGTGGGATATGCCCAATTGGCTTCGGAGAATGATGTCGTCAAGCTGTGATATATCGAGCTGCTTCTGGATGTGTTATTCAATGTTCCTAAAGACGATGGAATTGAGGCATAATGGTGGGGGCGCTTTGGGCCAATCAGGGGTGTGGAATGGGTAAGCTTTAATGTGCTAATATTATTGTTTTACTGTATTACGTACTGTACTGTATTAGTAGATTTAGTATTGGGGTACCTTGGTATAAGTCTCATGTGAATTTAACTTATTACATTCTAAGGTTATGTATGTATTTCTATATCGCTAACTTGAAGTTATTTTGAATCAGTTAGAATAGGAATGATGTAAGAATCCACTCATATGTATTTCTATATAATTCTTCATGTTACTATTCCTCTTATCTTAGTCTGCGAGGCTTAGACAAACTCGTCGGCGTGTCCAGTTTAGCTATTGCTATTGCAAACTGTCCTAAATAAGACTTTGCCACATCACTCAACTTACAAAAATCTCACTTACAGTCAAGTTACAGAAACGACTTATATATATCTCAACACTAGTAAAGTGGCCTCACCTCATTGATACTCATTATTAACCTCTATATTTCACTATTCTCACTTGGCATAACATAATGGGGCATTCATATACACATATTATGAAGAGACTTGCTGTCGCAACCTTAGTCGCCTCATCCGCTCTCTCCTTCACACACGCATCATCTCCCCCGTCTGAATCCCCCTCCGCAGAAACAGAACTCATATGCCACACCGACAACCCCGCCGAATGCTATCCAAAAGTCTTCTCCGCCACAGAGGACTTCCAACCCGTCCACGACGACCAGGATCTTCCGCCCGGCCTGCACGTCCAGCTCGACATCCAGACCGGCCAGAAACAAGCCAAGCTGTATAACCCCGCGGAACAAAACCCTGCTCTGGAAGGCTTACCGGTAGACCGGTCCGTCGTCGTCGTAGACCCCGAAACACCCCACGACGACGACCAGCCCCAAATCCCCCCCGGCGCCCCGGCCTACGAGCCCGTAGGCGTAGTCAAGGCGCCGAAGGAGAAAAACGAGGGCTTCATCTCGGCTCTCGAAACAGTGAAGAAGTCTTTAGAGGCCAACAGTAACGCCGTCAACCCAGACGATCTCGACAAAGCCCTAGAGGACCTAGAAGATCTATCTCACGATATATACTACGGCCTGCAAATCGCCTCTGACACCGACGCCCTGCACTCGCTACTCTGCCTCCTCACCGCGCGCGACGCAGCGCAGGCCCAACGGCCCCTATCCCAGCGCACCGATTTCCTCGCGTCCGCCATCCTCGCGTCTTCCATCCGGAACAACAAGCCTGCGCTCCGCGCCGTAGAGCAGTCCTGGGACTCCCTCGTGGAAAAGCAATGCCCATCGAATAAAGCCTCCCCCAACTCTCTGAAATCAGAGCTCTTCTCCGCGTTGCAACCTACGACGACGCCTGGCTCGGCGGAAGAATCCGCCGAAGCATACGCCACGCGCCTGAACCTCGCCGTGCTAGACGGCCTGCTCAAGAGCCCGCAGATCACGGCGCAGTTCCTCGCGCACGACGGCATGCGGCACTTGCTGCGAATCCTGCAGCGGGCAGACCCGGTCTGGGACGCGCGCAAAGCCAAGGTCGCGCGCATCGTGTCCGATATCTTCCTCGACGAAGACGTCGGCGCTGTGCTGGGCGTGTGGCCGACGAGCACAAGCGTAGCCGAAGCTAGCGTGTGCGAAGCCGGGGGCCCGGATTCTTTAGAAGAAGGATGTTGGGAGTACCACTTGGAGGTTATTAGCCAGGGCCCGGAAGCCCCGGGTTGGAGCCAGCCGCTCCTCGACTTGCTGAGGCGGAGACGGGCGGAGAAGCCGGCGGCGCAGCATAGGCGGGATGAATTATAAAAATAAAATAAAAATAAAAATAAAAATAGATTATCTAAGAGAAAACTTACTGTTTCAATATACGGTAATAACAAGCATGGGTAATGAGGAGGCGTTTGGGATAACTGCATTTTTGTATTTTATTTATTTGTTTTACTTTACTTCAGTTTACCCCCTGACGAATACCCTGGCCGCAGCTTTTCGTGTCGAAGCTGCAGCTTACTACATAGAGGACATACATACATACATATAACATATATCTTGGTATTAAGATACCTAGCAGTGCCAAGTCCCAGCCGAACCAATGTTCCGTACGCTTATATATACGTATCCCCCCTCATTGCACCATGTAGTAGGTATTCATCAGGGCAACGGGTCACGTTTTCAGCCTGCTCATGTCGTCCATGACTTCGTCCCATCGCTTCTCGAAGTCCGCGCGTACTCTTTGCGCGTCCTCTGTTCTCCCGACGCGGCGCAGGTAGTTTTGCAATGTGGCGAGTAAAGTAACCGTGGCGTTGTCGTTGCGCCCGAATTCCGTCTCGCATATCTCTAGGCTATGCGTCATAAGGTCGACGGCCTCCTCGGCGCTCACCTCGTGGCTTGTCGGTAGCGTCCGCAGCATATTGTAGCAGCTGAACCGCGCCAGCCGTGGATCCCGTCCCCCGCATGTTTCGACTAGTGTACGCGCCGATGCCGCCGCCTCTGTCGGCTTGTTGTGAAGGTTTGTTAGCCAGGATAAGTGGTGCCGTAGGAGGTCGATATCCTTCCTTATAGCGTCCTGCTCGGGCGGATCCACCGACGGCGACGGTGAACTCTCGAGATCCGCGATGAGGTCTTGCATGTATTTCTGCGCCGTATGCATCTCGATGAAGTTGCTATTGAGCATGGCTCGATATATAGTTGCTAGCCATGTCGGTTTGAGGCGGCTGTCAGCTTGCACGGCTTGCAGAAAGCCTTGTATCATTAGGCCGATAAATTTTGTTATTTCGGCTGGGCTGGCGCCTTTTAATCTCATAAATAATAAGTGTAGAGGGTGCCTAGGACCGAAGACGATGCGGGACATGCCGCAGGCGTAGTTGATTAATGACTCGGCAAGGCCTGGTCCGGATTGTATAAGCGCTCCTAGGGCGAGACACGTCTCGACAAGTAGTGACGGGTCTTGCCGCATCATCACTTCTCTATAGTCATCGAAGGTTATCCTTATCATGCGGAAACCTTGTTTTGTAAAACCGTTGATAAATAGTTGCCTGGCAGACGACACGGGGTCCAACCACGTCCTCGGTCGGCGTGGAAATACTAGTTCCTTGTCGGGAGTGAGCTGCCAGAGAGATCCTTCCAAGGCACCCCCGACGTAGCTCTGCACTATCTGCATACACTCCTCAGGGAGCCGTAAGCTGTCGGGAGCTTCCACGCGTCTCGGTACTGACACCGGCTCCGGTTCGGGAGACGGAGTACGGCATATGATCTCCTCTATGCTGCGCTTCTTGGCCTCGACCGATTCTATCTTACCCGACAGGATCGCCATGAGTTCCTTGCGACTGGCGGGCGAGACTCGTCGGAGGTACGCGTTGAGCCTATCCGCATCGACCTTGCGGCCGTGAACGAAGGATACCGATGGCTTGCCGACGGCGGCGCGGCGACCACGCTGAACTAGAAGCTCGGCCACCTGGTGAGCTCTTAGTTTCTTGTGTAGGCCCCATCTGTTGAAGCGGATCTTGTACATCTTTTCCCTAAGTGCCGGGTTAGACTTATAGGTTGGTGATTATCCATGCGCTAGGGTCATAGGCGGAAGCTTACGTTGCGAAGAAGTAGTATTCCTCCCGCATAATAACCATGACTTCTTTCAAGCTCTTGTTCTGCTCCAGATATAGCGCTGCGATGGTGTCTCGATAGTTGTTCCAGTCCCCGTCCTTCGCAGGACCATTATACCGCTGGGGTGTGACCATGACGGCTGTGGTTCGCTAGGTATCTCTACGTGAGATGGTCATAATATGTATAAATTCGAATTCGACTTGGTTGGTTAGGAAACAATACGATAAACCTTCTTTCCCAAGCTCATACCTAAACTCGTATGTTGTCTACCTATAGATATGCAAAAGATGTATAACCATTATATACTTGTAAGGAAAAGCGCGCAACGGGAAATGTCCCGTTCGAGGTTGCAGAGGATGTCGCGCGTGTTATGTTCTCGAAGTAGACAGAGACAGCAGAGCGGACTTGTTAGACAGAATAGGCATAATCGAAGTCTTGTCACCTCCTGCTTCGTCATGTCGCATCGCCTACAACAGGAACGACATGTTCGGGATAGGCGTGTCTCCAATAAGGCTGGCCTTTATATTAGTCAGGGCAGGGCGGCCATGATGATTCGCGAATTGAGAATCCTTGTCGCACCAGGGTCCAGCGGTGCAACCGTCAGGGGGTCATGTCCGGACTCTGCCCTGGGCACTGACGTCGAATGACACACGTGTTATAGTCGCTCAACAATGGTCGACCTAAACCATTTTTAGGTAATATCTAACGCGAAATATTAATAACGCCGTAGATCGACTCTTGTTTCAATCAAGCCGATGGTTGTTTGACTTGTTTGAAAGCTTAGTAAATGGTTGAGCCTGGGGGTAGGATGTCGGTCCTAGGGCTGCCAGGAGGATGAAGGATCATAAGAATTGGGCGAATGGAAAGCTAGTGCATACATGAGTATCCCCGGTTCGCCAACTCCTATTGGATATAACTAGTTTACCTAAACCTCTTGTATAATAGTTGGACTTTGTTCTAGGTGGATTTATATTAGTCTTTGCTAAAGTTTCAACTCTCAGATGCGGAGTTAACTTCTTGGCTCCCACTCTATAGAGTATAATGAATGTTACCCGCATATGATCCCCCTAACTGCGACCCAACTGTGAGCTAGAACAGGCTACCAGATGTCAGTGGGTGCCACTGGGTGAAGGATGGTACGTATTCCTACCTTTTTTAATGTCGGAGTACGCGGAGTTCTTCCCTTATTCTAACGTTCCAAACATTTAAGCTACCTACGTTGCCGAATGTAAGTTACTGTATACTACTCCCGACCGTAGTGTAAGAGGATTTCTCTCCAGCACGGGGTGGTATCAACTCAATGAAGATCCCTCTGGGCGACTCTATATCGAGTTCGGGTCAACGGCTATTGTCACGCTTCTCGAATCGCTGCGTAGCGGTCGGGCAATGACGACAAGACTCTAATCGGATCCTTGGCGGGTCATGTGAGAATAGCGTGTGTTTACCTGAACGGCAACGGCCACGGCCCCGAATTTCCATCAATGATAAACAAGAATCCTTCGGCTTTTCTTGAGAGTGGAAAAGGGAGAAGCGATAGCCATACATACGCTACGTTGATGGCTATAAACTAGGAAAGCTATCTTTTATTGAGCCCTGATGGTACCAGCGGACCTCTAATACAGTTAGCGTAGGTACCAGGCTACTTTAAACTGTTAATATACCATTCGTGGATAAAGAACTCCGGGCCACCTCTATACGACGATGATTGACCTTTGTACTCTAACAGATGGGCTTGTCTGTATGTACAACCATACGGCTGCAGTAAGCTGGGCAGGGCTGGGCAGCACGTGGATATCTCTTGGAATAGGTTATGTGGCTGTCTTGTGGTACTACCAAGTGATTCTAGCGAGGCTTAGATTAATAATATTCAGGTGGGATATAGATAGGTTCTCCAAGACCGGCGAATTGGTTTGCCAAACTTCGGCTGTCAGCGACCTCATGAGCGGAACCGTCAGATAGACCCCACGTTCCTATAAGGATACCATGTCATAACTCTTTAAACCTAGGCATGATAAAGGGGGAATACTACATACGATACCTTATGTTTCCGGCATACCATCGCGCTGTTGGAATATTAATACAGGAGGATGGTAGTATACAGAAGTTGTTGGGGCCTTAATGCGATGAAACCCATGGAAAAAGAAATGCAAATGGGGGCTGTGGGGGAACCAGGCTCTGAATTTGAGTATGGGGAACCTTTGAATTAGATGTGCCAGCATTGAGCAGCGAGGCTGTGGAAGACGCAGCCTTCAGTAATGCTAAACTTGGTGTATCGAACGGAACGCGCGAAGCCGGTTCTAAATTAATAAATATTGACCGACTCGCATATTGATGCGACTAAATTTGAAGACGGGGAATATTGCCGTCTTTGGTCAGTAGATGAACTATAGATATGATCTGTGTTATGGTCCCAAGATAATGGGAAAACCCGATAGCATCCTCTAACAATGTATCGGACACATGGCATATGAGACACCAATCAAAGTAGCTCATTGTTGGTGATGGTGTCTCATCAGTGTTGTGAAAGACATTAGAAACAACCGAGAGGCCGGTTAAGAAGGCCGAGGTTGCCCTAAGACGGGAGACGTCAAGTGTACAAAGGTACCTACTTGTTCATAAAGCTGCTGACTTAATACATATGGCCCACTTTCTGGATTGATTTGATAGGTTCTACGAAGTACAGAAGATGCAATGCAATGACTGCAGTCCCAGTCCCAGTCCCAGACTCCCAGTCCCATCAATCTTTTTTTCTAAATTCCGCCATTTCTGTATGCACAACATGCATCTCCATTCGGCACCAACAACAAAATGCTTTTCCGCATCTATGTTTACCGCCTGCGCATGCAGTGCACCATAGCGTACACCATAGCGTAACATCCAGAGGAACGGGAAGTGTGGAACCCGGTAGGGTTGCAGCCGCGATGCGAATATGTACATTACCGCCCAACCGTTGTCTAGCTGTCTCTTGGCTTGAAAATGCTTGACCAATGGGGGCTATGCTGTCCTACAACTCGGCGGCTACATCTAACGCTCATCTGCTTCAACCCCAAATTCCACCATCCAGAAGCTTCAAATGGCCTCTCATCAGTAGCCGCGAAGGCGTCTTTAAGCCCCCAGACCACACACTAACCTTGCGTCGGCTTGATGTCGTGTAATGGGGCTAACGACAACTTGACCACTCAGATATCGAATTTTCTTGTCCGGCCTATTAAATCGGGTAGGTTGATCGTTGGTTAATTCGAGTCTCCCGTCAAAATGTATCGTAGTCATATTGTTTGCACTGATGCGCAGATTGTAGGCGAGGTGACACGTCCTTTGCCAGTCATTGTTCTGGTCCATTTAACATTGGCCCTCGCCAGCCGTCTCATCTTACAATGACTTCTTACAACTAATTCTCACCTAGCGTATTGTTTTCGAACCTTTCTTTTTGTTTGTACAAAGACGTTCTATTTCCCTATCATGATAATACCCATTCATCTGGGATCAAATCGGTGGCTCTTAATGACTTGAAATCTTCCATTCTCTTCAACAAAAACCTTCTCCTTACGCGTAACCATTTTTGCGGGACAGTCACCTAGACAACCTCACCCGACATTTTATCTCTACCGATTCCTGTTTCATTCCATTCTTGATGCGCCGAACTTCAACGCAGGCACTTTGAATTTGGTATAGCTTTTGGGAAATACTTAAAAAAAAATATTCTCCTTAACATTATTACTTATTTGCTACTTAACTTACATCGTCCATCATGAAGGTAATAAATCCTTCCTCGAATACTCCTTTAGGGATGCCATCTAGTCGATCGAACCCCAAGGACGAATGGGAAGACTGGGAAGATTCGGATGGGGAGGTACAAAAAGTGACGGAGGATAAGGATAGGCTCCTCATCGACCTTTCGGATGATATAGCGCGCAAGTCGTTCAGGTCTACTACTTCACAAAGCATTCCGCGCAATTCAATACGATACTCGATCCAAAAACCAACTCGTGTGAAGTCCAGAGCTAGGCAAAAGGCCCAGAATGCAAAGGCTGGAATCAAAGTTGTCACGGATATGTCCAACTTCAGTCGACCACCGCCAGCTGCGCAACAGCCAAAGTTTGCTGATGCTGTCGCTCTTCACGCTCTAGAAGGAGAACCTTCCTCTGCTTCGATTGGCAGTTTTTCGTGGCTTAAGCAAAGACCTGGGAACATGGGTGGTGCGAGAGCAAGCAACAGGCTCGTACATGCTCCCACTTCAGACCTTTCTCCGGTAGCTCGACCAATCGTCATCGGAATAGCGGTACCTTCAGACAACTTACTGGATCATCAGACTAGCCCACAGACTGCAGTCATCGAGACGCCAAATGATCTGCAAAGATACGCCCCGAAACAGGGAAATCCTACAGCTCTCACGCCACAACAGTTGCGCTCCGTGTGGTCTCCAGACACAGAAGAGAGTGAATCTCCGTTCCAGTCATCCAGAGCTGTGTCAAGTTTCTATTCGCAGCCCAGCATATATGGCGGTACTGCAGTGGGTGCTGATGTACCTCCCGTACCCGCCCTACCAGCAGACCTTAAACCCAAGGAGCAGCAAGCTACATGGCTTGACCTAGACGATGATGACAGTATCGGAACACCATGCACCCTTTTCGAAGAAGACGGAAGTCCTACGGCGGTTCGCAAGTCAGCTAAGCCTCAAGCAACGATAGTGAGTCCCGAAAGTGCCAACAGTCCATCTCGTGGCTGGTGGGACCATATCACGACTCCTTTCGTCCAACAGACCAACCCCTTCAAACAGCAGCTGCAGCCGCAGGACACAGGGTTGAACTCCCCGCCGCAGCAATGGAACCCGTTCAAGAAGCAGGTACATGAATCTAACCCTAACACTACAACATCTCCTCAAGGATGGTGGGCTGGAGTGGACGAGAAAGGCAACCCCTTGCAGCCGAATACCAGACAACAGCCAAATAGCTCAACTCCCAATCCTTCGTCATTATCGCCATTATCGCCATCAGCTCCCCAAGAATGGTGGAACAGAACTACCGAAAAGGGTGGTACATCTTCGAGGGGAGTGGCTAGCAATACGCCGGTGATATCACAGCAGCAGTTCACAGCTCAGCCAGTCGCCACCTCATCTCGTGCGGCATCACCTAACCGCCGTGAGGGACATTCCGAGAAAGCCAGGATTCTTCTAGAGGAGAACCAGAAGCCGAGCGAAGAACCACCGCCATATTCACCTCCTAAGACAGTCAATCAAGTCAAATTTGGCGTGATACTACCGCCTCCACACGTGGTCAGCTCTCAACGTGTCCCGTCCCCTGGCCCGATGACGCCAAACTTGCCGGGTACGATGACTTCCCAGGGCGCCATTGGCATGGCAGAAATCCCCCTGACGCCCTCCGGAGTTCGTACCGTACAACCTGCCGTGCTCCCCGACCGCGCACCTGGCTCGTATGTTCCCGGCGACCACTTTTATGAAATTCGAGGCCACGCCAATAGAACTGAAATGCAGCGGCGGCGCCACGAGAAGGAGGAAGTGGTCGCTAGGAAAGTTGGTGGCTTTTGGAGAGGCCGCGGCTGCATGCCCCAAAATGGGTGCTTCGGACGCTCAGGTCGGGAGGGGAGGAAGAGAAGGCGGATTTGTTTCGCAGTTATTGGTGCCCTGATTGCTGCGATTATTCTCGCTGTAGTGTTGGCTGTTGTCTTTACTCGGCGACACCCGGACGAAAGCCCGACCCCTTCGATTTGGCTCAATTTAACGGATTT